ACCATCATCAGAAATTCGGCCCAAGGACCAACAACAACCTGGAGGGTTTCCACAGTCGCCTCAATGCATCACTGAATCATCGTCATCCTAATCTCTACAGGGTCATCGAGATCATCAAGAAGATTGAGAAATCTGAGAAGACCAAGCTATCTCAGTTAGACCTAGGTGCAGCTCCACCAGCAAGAATGAGTGAGTGAGTGAGTGAGTTTGGTTTTACGCCGTTTTTAGCAATATTCCAGCAATATCACGGCGGGGGACACCAGAAATAGGCTTCACACATTGTACCCATGTCGGGAATCGAACCCGGGTCTTCGGCATGACCAGCGAACGCTTTAACCACAAGGCTACCCGACCGCCCCCCCCCACCAGCAAGAAAGCGTGTGTACAAGGAGATTGACAGTCGACTTTACAGACTGAAGGATCAGCTATCCCAGAGTGTCAAGACACTACTCCAGTTCTTGGATGCTGTTGGCAAACTTCTGAAGATGGATTAAGGTTGTGTCAGTGTGACAACCTCGATGTGAACTGTGATGTGAACTGTGATATTAACGTTAACGGAACTTTAAGTGGCGAATATGTTAAAACAATGGATTTAAGGGATGGATGAATTAAAATATTGAATGAAATAAAGTAAAAGAGTGTATTAAGCATCTTTTGTCATTTCTTTTGTCTATAATAAGACAAGTCCATTTTTTCATGATAGGGGTTAATTACCTGATTAACATGTGCAACCAGGTATGACATTGTTGTTTTAAGGTGTCTCACAACTGGGCTGTCTTACTAATCGGAGGAGACCCATTTAACGGTGTGTCGATGCAGATTCTTACACCAGAGAGCTGAGTGCATGTACTTGCATATTCACCTGTCTTCAGTATCTGCGCTCTATTGTTATGTGACTAGGGTAAAAAGCAAAGTCACGCGCTGAAGGAAGTTGTATGAACAAGGTAGTCAGTTCAAGCGTTCATGATAACAAGGATTGATTAACATGGGAAGTCAGCAGTAGCTAAATGTTCTCCTCAAACATGCAATCGCCTTAAATACGATTTTAAAGTTAAATTCAGGACATCAGAGATGTTAATAAAATGATCTTCTGATTCATGAAAACAAGCATTCTATTGTAATAATTCAATGTTTTTTGTGTTTGTCCATTTCGGGAATAAAAGGAACAGACAGATCGGTCTTAGCTCGGTATCATATTTTGCTATGTTGCTATATATTTTCCGTAATCACTCGTACCGAGTAGGTTTTTCTATAATTGTTCGATGGTTTTGCGAACGGAACTGTCTAAAGATTTAGGGCGGAAATTTTAGGGATTCATGTGATCCCGGCCAGGTTTTGGTATGGGGACGACAATGGCATTATGCCACGAAGGAGGAAAATTCCCTGACGACCATATTTGATCAAATATATCTAAAAGTGTATCAAGACATGATTCAGGAGAATGCTTCAATAGCTGATTGTGGATATTATCATCCGCTGCTACACTACCATGAGCTTGCTCAAGAGCGGTATGAAGCTCATGAATTGAACATGCATCATCGTCATCTTTGCCATTATTTGAATAAAATATATAAAAATATTTTCCTGCTGTTTCTGATATCACTGAGACTAAGGGACAAAAGTTGATGATGGCGATCGCCCAGTATATATTCGCAATGTCAGATTTATCAGTAATTAACTCTTCACCTTCTTTAAGATGGTGTACAGACAATTTTGAACTTTTGCCTTCGACTGTTTTAACCCTGTTCCACACCTTAAATAATTTTTGAAACATAGTTCCTCCACGATTGGCGCTTATTTTGTTTGTAAGCACGTCATGCTTTGGCACAAGTAACTTTAACATCATTAATATTTATTATCATAAGTTATGAACAGTAGGATGTTTGCGGAAATATCTTCGCCTGCACTTTGATGCTTGTTTGCAGTTGTTATTAATGGTAACATGGTTTCAATCTCTAAAACCTGCAGACATGTCCATTCCTTTTGTACTGGATTCCAAAGCTCCATAAAAATTCGCACAAAGAGAGATATATTGCTGGGTCCAGCAAATGTGTGTTGCTTGTTGTGAGGACATATACGGGTTAGAGAAGGTCCCAAATATTATATTGCGTGTTGTGAAGATACATAAGAGTTAGCATTAATGTGTTGGACAGTCTCATATATTTCATATTTACATTTTGATGCAAAATCACACATTGACGGTTTCGAGTGGGAAGCGACTGGTCCTGAGCAGCGAACAGAAAGCCTTCCATTTCACTTTTCATGCCGGCCGACTTCGAAGGTCTCTGCAGGGTTGCTGTTTTTCTCCACACACTTTAGGTAACCATGATGCAGTGGTCGTTCAGATAGCCTCTCCTCGAAAATGTAACTTGGATATGGCCTTTCGCTTGGCTGATATTCATTTCCGTGCGGTCCAGCAATACAGAACCATCAACAAAATCAACAGTGACATTGAGATTATGTCCCACACCCTTGGCTCGTTTAAGAAAACGTTGACATTCCTTATTTTCATCATGAGTCTTGACATGCTTCGCAAGAGGATCATCAGACTAATAAATGAGTGCAAAAGTGCACAAAACAATGCTATCTTGAAGAGCCTCCACGCCGTCCCATTGTAACTTGTAAATGTAAGCGAGGGAGCGAGGGTTGTGGGATCTATTGTCTGACATGATTCTACGTGTGAGTGAGTGAGTGAGTTTGGTTTAACGCCGCTTTTAACAGTATTTTAGTTATATCACGGGGTGTCAGCTTGATGTGGGAGGAAAGCCCGAAGTGATGCAGGTCTCAGACGTTTACCACTTCGGTGAAACCCACGAGCACGGGTATGGTGCTGACAAACCTAGAAACATAATCGGGGCGAACCGGGATTCGAACCCACAATCATGTTTCTGGCGTGCCCAAGGGACGCAAGTCTGCGCAGCGAATCGCGGCGCCTTAGACGACTGGGCCACCCGTGCCCCTGATTCTTCGTGTGAGTATGTTAGTACACGGACGTTTGTGCTTCGTCCAATCCACAAGACCAATAGAATACGAAAGGAAAGGTACATAATAAGTACTAGTATTTATGGCTTGACTTTACTGCGAGAGTTCAGCTCTGAACTGTAAATTTTCTTCAGACTATATTTATTTTGCCCAAAGTTTGTCTTTTATTTAATATGGGCATGCTGGAGTTTGTCTCTAACCTGCATCCGTAAGTACGTATAGGCCTGGGTCACAGTGACCTTACGTTGCTGATTTCAGTAAATGGGTCAGCCTTGTTACAGTTTCTGTGTTGATATTGTCAACAAATGCATTGACCTTCTCTTTATCATAGCGCTTCAGGTTATCTGCGTTAGTGTGGTTGGCATTAGTTTGTTAAGACGTGTTAGTACTCGAAAACATAATGGGACAGCGAATATCGGGTTAGAGTAGGTCCCAAATAGTGTATAGCTTCTTGTGACAAATAAAACGGGTAAGAGTTGGTCCCAAATAGTATATAGCTTCTTGTGAGGACTCAAACGGGTAAGAGTTGGTCCCAAATAGTATATAGCTTCTTGTGAGGACTCAAACGGGTAAGAGTTGGTCCCAAATAGTATATAGCTTCTTGTGAGGACTCAAACGGGTAAGCGTTGGTCCCAAATAGTATATAGCTTCTTGTGAGGACTCAAACGGGTAAGAGTTGGTCCCAAATAGTATATAGCTTCTTGTGACAAATACAACGGGTAGGATTTGGTCCCAAGTATTATATTGCTTGTTGTGAGGACACACACAGGTTAGAATACTTCTGAAGTTACGTATGTCAGTTATATCACAGTGTGGAAGATTGATGTTGGAGGAAAGCCCGGAGTGATGCAGGTCTCAGTCGTTTACCACTTCGGTGAAACCCACGAGCACGGGTATGGTGCTGACAAACCTAGAAACATAATCGGGGCGAACCGGGACTCGAACCCACAATCATAGGTTTCTGGCGTGCCCAAGGAACGCAACTCTGCACAGCGAATCGCGGCGCCTTAGACGACTGTGCCACCCGTGCCCCCTACAGTGTGGAAGCTTGATGTTGGAGGAAAGCTTGAACTGATGCAAGGCCCAGACATTTAACACACTAATGCAACCAACAAGCAGGGCAAGGTGCAGACAAACCCAGAAACATAATCAGGGCGACCTGGGTTTCGAACCCACAATTACAGGTACTGCCACGCCTTAGGGACACAGCTCTTCACAGCCTCTACTGGATCACCCGTGACTCCCTTTGAAGTTTGAACGTCATCTGCTACTAATACAATAAACCAAACGCTTTAACGCAAGATTTCAGTTTTATTGCGCATTCATATCAATCAAGTCCAGAATGGCATACATGTCCCCCTGAAGAAACAAATAAACACGTTAACATCATTGTTACGATCATGGGAAGCCTGTTTAATGTTTTGAGGTGGGTCTTTTATCGCCAGGCTATACCAAGTGAAGCAAAATAGCACAATTAGTGGGGAAGCAGTCGGACATAATTATTGTGGGAAGCAATCTGGCATAATTAGCAGGGGAAGCAATCTGGAATAATTAGTTGTGGAAGCTCTCTGGTATAACTAATTGCGGAAACAATCTGGCACAATTAGAGGGAAAGCAATCTGACATAATCAGTATTGGGAAGCAGACTAGCATATGTAGCGCTGGGGAGTGGGGAGGAACAGTTTGGCAGAATTAATGGGTGAGCCAATCTGGCATACGCCCTACTTACTATATACTTTCCCCTTCTGAGGTGCTTGCTGAACATTTGCATGGTGTAGCTGCGTTAGCCTCCGGTGATAATTTATGCACATAATATAAACTTTTTTTGCGAAAAAAGTATGAATGAAAAATAAATATACGTGTTCTAAGTGACCACATCTGATCTATAGGGCCGTGGCTATATGCCAGCTTGTGAGAAATGGACGTTTGTTGATATGATCTTATGATAACAGTCGCAACACAACATGTACAACAAACAGTACATCCTTTATCGCTTTACCACTCTGATAGTGTGGGTACCAGACTGAACAAGTCCACGCCAGCAGTGCTCGACACAAACAGTATTATGGCTTAACACAGAGGATTGGGACACTGGTTTGGACGCTTCCTTCTTTGGTTTGTCGACCACCACATGCTGAATGAGTCGTCAGTATATGCATTGTATCGTCACGTGACTAGGGTAAATGCGTGGTCACGCGCTCGAAGTTCGGTAAGAAGAAGACAGTTTCAAGCGTCCATCCAACAAGGACTGATTATCAAGGACTGAATAACATGGACAGACAGCAGTAAGTATATATTCTCCTCAAATAAGCCTCAGCGTTAATGCAATGATTTTAATTAGTTAACACCATACATTCAAGATTCAAGATTCAAGATTCTTTTTTCAGTATTTTGGGCCATGTGGCCTAGAGTACAATTACAATTACAATAATTGCTGCGTCCCGTGATGTCGGTAAAATAAATACAAGTAGTCTTATTTCACATTAAATAAATGATTTAAGTATAAGGCCAAAGCCTTTACAATGTCGATATTTTTGGAGTTGAGTAGATTACATAAACTGTGATTATCATGATGGACATTGGATAACTAAGGCAAATAGTGGTTTCTGGCAGAAGAATATTTTGAACATAAAAACAAAACATGAAATTCATCCTCTAATTGCCTTCATTTACAATGGGTACATAGAAATAAACTTAAGCCTTCATTTGTATGTTTTGACTTTCGTAGCATGTTAATCTTAAAACCGTGTAGCGATATTCTGAATTTACAATATGCTCTCCTGAGTGATTTATTCGTGAGATTATTTCGTACGTGACAGATATTTTTTTATGAGGAAATAGAGTCATGCCACTCTTGAGAATACATATCACTCAGCCTTTGTTTTATTTTTAGTAAAAATAGATTTACATCGCCAATTTGTTGAGAGATCCATACAAATGAAAAGCCTGAAGAAAACAAAATATATCTTACATCAGACACCCAGGTGTGTTTATCATTATCATCTAACTGTTTAAGTAGATTGTAACATTGTTTTGGATATCGACATGGGTTCATACGTAGAAATCTCAACCAGTATTTAAGTACCCTTATTTTGCTAAACACGAATATATTTAATCGCCCAGTTTCACCAAGAATAGCTTTATTAGAGGCATATTTTCCGATACAAAGATAGTTTTTAAAATAGGACGTATGTACTTTTTCTATACATTCATAATATTTTGCCCCCCAGATTTCAGCCCCATAGAGTAATATAGGAGCAATCTTACAATCAAACATTGTACAAGCTGTTTCGAATGTTATATAGCTATTTCTTTTAAAAGCATGATAAATGGCTCTAGTGGCTTTAGAAGCTTGTGATGCTAAGCTTTTACAGGCCATTGACCAGATTAGCCTTGAGGAGAAAAATACTCCAAGATACTTGTAGTAAGTGACAAGTTTTACATTTATAGAACCAAAGGACCATTTTTCATTTTTTCGTATAATACCACCGTTTCGGAATACAATTATTTTTGTTTTATCAAGATTCACACTTAGGCCCCAGGTAATGCAAAATTTTCTTAAGATATCTAATTGTCTTTGTAGACCAATAACTGAATATGAGAACATAGTCACATCGTCGGCAAAAAGTAGTAGAATAATATCTTCAATACTATCTGAAACAAACACACCATGGCAGCACGTTTTGTAAATATCAGTTACAAGCTCATTAATGAAGAAGATAAACAGAAGTGGGCTTAAGATACAGCCTTGTCTTACACCGGAGCTAGTCGTAAACAAATCTATTTTACCTTTGTCTGTTTTTACACAAGCCTTAACAGCAGAATACATACTAGCTAAGACATTATACAACTTGCCATGGCAACCTTTTTGTAAGAGCATATATGATAATTTTTTCCTTTCCACAAAGCCAAAGGCTTTCTTGAAATCAATGAAAGCACAATAAAATCGCCCCCCTCGCTTTGTTAAATATTTAGTACAAAGGGCCTGGAGTGTGAAAATGTTGTCTGTTACTGAATAGTTGGGTCTGAATCCAGCTTGTGCTTCATGTATTAAATCGTTTATATCCATCCATGATCGTAGTCTTTTTTCAAGTATTGACGTGAATAATTTCCCAGTTGCATTTAGCAGGGATATTCCTCTATAATTGTTTGGGTCAGAGGTAACACCAGATTTATGTATAGGTAGTATAAGTCCAATGTTCCATGCTTCAGGGAATATACCGGTATCTAATATTTTATTAAATAAAGGTCTCAAGTATTTAATAAGAATTGTTTCTGAAAGTTTAAACAAATTCTGGAGGGATTCCATCTTCACCAGGAGATTTCCCGAGTTTTAATCTTTGTAACGCTTCAGCTACTTCTTCATCAGCAATGATATCTGATATCAACTCATCTGTAATGGGTAAGCTATCACAATTATCACAAGAGTGACTGTCAATGAATTCATTTACAAGTACATTAAAATCTTCATTCACTTCTGTTTTGTTAGAGTTTAACAAATCTTTAAAATATAACTGAAGATTATCAGGAGATATTGCACATTTAGTGTTTGCTACATAAAACCCGTTTAAGGGTGTTCCAAAATGTTTTACAATTACCATGTTTTGCAGCATCTTTCAAATCTTCAACTATTTCACCATCAAATTGTTTCTTTTTCTGACCACAGCATATTTTGAATTTTCTTTTGGCTGTAACATATTTTTGCAAATTTTCATTTCATTTGAACTGCTTAAATAAATTAAGATACCTGTAATTTACCTTACATGGCAATAAACGTATTGGGTAGATGTTCGGTTGACGAGGCCCCCATATCCTGATAACATGCATTCGGCTAATCTCGGCTTAATCCATCAGAGGCAATGTAGGAGATTGTAGTATTTCATGAACCTGCCATGTAGGCAAAGGGAGGTTATCGTTAACTTAACCCTCGGTCACTTTGGATGCAGAGAGGTCTCCTTGCATTCAAGTACGCTCTAAATCAAATTACCACTACAACCACTCTTTCAATGTTGTAAGACGCCTGGATCACTTGTCGGTGTGATCGTTGTAATGCTCAACGGTACCTTCCGCTGGCAATATGAGTTCATGAGGACATTCGTGTATAATATTCGATAAGGGACATGGTTGTTTATTACAGGAGAGGTGAGGTGAAACGGGGTTTAAGGCCACGTCCAAGATTATTGCACTTATATGTATAGGAGAATGTCCGTAATCTCGCGATTATTTTTGTACGTGAAGCTTGTTCTAGGCCGTTCGGACTTTCTCCTACTTAAACAAAGTTCGATCAAGTTAATGTCCCAAACTAATCTTCAAGTGATGTTCACCACTATACTGTGCTATACTATGGGAGGGTGACGGCTCTTGTTTAACTATGGGAGGGGAACCTTTCAAGGAAGACTATGGGATGATTTAGTCCCCATATTCAAACTATTGGAGTGTTAGCAAAATGATTGCGCCTACCCAACTATCATTAAAGTTCACGTAACCTTGTTTTAAAGTGACGTGCATGCACGTGTGTGTGTGTTTGTGTGGCTGCTTGTACTTGTCCGGACTCTTGCCGATTTATAGTGCTAGCCCAATGAGATATATTATGCCGCGGTTTAACATGAATACCCCACTCAGATACAGTAAACTGATTCCGAGCCGACCAGTCCTTGTTTTAGCCCTTAATGCCGAGCGCCAGACGGGGTAACAACAAGTAACATTTTTTAACGTCTTTTGGTATGACGCGGCCGGGGAATGAACCCCGGACCTTCCGCTCTCCGGGCGGACGTTCTACCACTAGACCACGGAGGCGGTCCTATTATAGAGGAGGTGAGTGGGGGTTGGGGTGCTGAGATCGTTGTTAGGACTGTATTCATGTCCAACCCAACCCACAAATACACGTAGCATTTTTCAATCAATAGTGAATAAGGTTCAAATTTATTTCATTTGTCTTTGAGGCCAGGATCCACGGGTTTGGAACGCAGGTTTACCATAATTATGATCCTTGGTTTGTAAGCACTACACCTATTCCCGTTGGTGTCACCAATCACCTGACGTCTAAGACCTGCTCTCACATTCAACCGTGATATAACCCGTAGTGTTCAAAGTAGCTTCAAACCTAACTCACCCACTCATCCTTCACAGAACTCCCGAGATTCTGGACTACCGGAATGAAAATGGTCATGGGTGGTACTTCTACATAAATGACGGCGTCCTCCGGGATGTTAGCACCAACCCTGAGGATGATATGGAAATGATCCGAAATGTTCAGAAGTTCGAGCTGAGGGACGATGACGTCATCATAGCAGCATATCCCAAATGTGGTAAGAACCTGAGATATACAATTTACGCAAAAAATATTTAAGGCATGAGGTTCAGTGTGTGGCAAAACCCCTAAAACCCCTAGAAACTCGCTTGTCAAACAGACGAACACGTTCACCCATCCATCTCTCATCGACCATCTTTCTTAACCTCACCTGGTTTATGAGGTGTACTCTGTTCATATGACGACGTGCTATCACGTCATGCTGTACTCATGAAGATCCGGGGTAGAATAGGTCTTCAGCAACCCATGCTTGCCGTAAAAGGTGACTAGGCTTTTCGTAAGAGTCGACTAACGGGATCTGGTGGTCAGGAACGCTGACTTGGTTGATGCATGTCATCGATCCCAATTGCGTGGATGATGTATGTCATCGTATCCCATTTGCATGGATCGATGCTCATGATGTCAATGACTGGATTGTCTGGTCCAGACTCGATTATTTACAGACCGCCATCATATAGCAGGGATTATGCTGAGTGCGGTGTTAAACAACAACGAAACAACATAGCATGCTGGCTTACACAGAAATACCTTTCAAAGAGGCGTTTAACCCATCTCACTCCAATGCTGTGATTTATCCTTACCCTTATACTTCCAGGTACCCACTGGTTGTGGGAAATCGTCACTATGCTCAGGACCGGTAACTCCGAGTACCACAAGAAGAAGAAGGTGATCGCCATGTTAGGGATGCCGAAGTTCGAGCGGGCAAATGAACTTCACTCCCCGCGGGTTCTAAACTCACATCTTTACTTCCGTCATCTCCCGGAGAAACTGGCTGAGAAGCGAATAAAGACAATCTTCATCATGCGAAATCCAAAAGATGTCAGCGTATCTTATTATCATCATGCCTGCGGACTCACACAGCATATTTGCTTTGACGGGACGTATTCAGAATATCTGGATCTGTTTTTGGAAGGAAAAGGTGAGACAAATGTTGATGCTATTAAGTCACATCAAGCCTCATGATAATAACAAAGCCTGACGGTTTAATAAGGTTATTACCATACATGTGTATTTGTATAATATTCTAATGGCTGAAATGGGTATTTTAACATTTAATTTAAGTAAAGAAATAATATAAGACATTTACACTAAATCTCTGCAGCAATTAAACCCGACACACTTCACGGTGGCACAGTCGTCTACGGCGCCGCAATTCACTGTGCAGAGTTGTGTACATGGAGCACCGCAGATTCGGGGATCGAATCCCGGTTGTCCCAAGTCTGAACATATATATTTGTGATACAAACAAACTATTCCATTAAATGGAAAAGCGGCTCCATTGAGATAGTGGATTAAGAGACCAATAGCACATGTAGCGGGGATAGATGTGCTGGAGTCAATTTGAATTTGTGAGCACATTCTTTAACCATCAGAGTCCGGGGTTCGATCCCCAGCCGCATAATACCAAAAGACGTTAAAAGATGGTACTTGTTGTTACCCTGTCTGGCGCTCGGCATTAAGGGGTTCAAACATGGTCGGCTGGGAGTCTGTATACTGTGTCTCAGTGGAGTATTCATGTTAAACTGCGGCATGGTATCTCAGTGGGCTAGCACAAAAATCGGCATGAGTCCGGACTAGTACAAGCAGCCACACACACAAGTGCATGCATGTCGCTCTATAAGTGCAATAATCTTGGACGCGACGTTATACCCCATTTCACCTCACCTATAAGTATCAGATAAGGGTTGAAGTGAGGCCTATTCTTTGACCCTGCCTCTTTTCAAGCTCTGTCCTTTATCAATGGATTCTGAGCCTGTGAAAAATCTAGACTTGCTTCTCTTAGGCATATAACATTACCATACGCGCTGGGCGGAAGGGGAAATAACATGGTTCAGGACTGTGAGACATACAAGCTCAAGTCGAAAAAAGGATGCACAATGGCAACATCAATGGAGTGTATCTGTGATGGCGGATTGTTGAAGTGTAATTTTTCCCAAGAGGAGGTTGTAGTTGCTATCGTTAACTTTAACCAGCAATGTCTGAATGTGGGTTTAAATCCTGATTTCTGTGTTGTGAGTGTGAGTTTTAACGCACTAACGCGCTGCGCTGCGCTGTCTGAATGAGGACTTTAACTCTCAAATGTGCTGCTGTCTGAATGAGGGTTTAAACTCTCCGGCGTGCATCCTGTGTATACCTGGCGAAACGTTCGCACGTGCTGCGGTCTGAATGTGGGTTTAAACGCTCTCACGTGCTGCCGTCTAAATGTGGGTTTAAACGCTCTCACGTGCTGCGGTCTGAATTTGGTTTTATTCGCTCCCACGTGCTGTGGTCTAAATGTGGGTTTAAACGCTCTCACGCGCTGTCGTCTAAATGTGGGTTTAAACGCTCCCACGTGCTGCGGTCTGAATGCGGTTTTAAACGCTCTCACGTGCTGCGGTCTGAATGTGGGTTTAAACGCTCTCACGTGCTGCCGTCTGAATGTGGGTTTAATCGCTCTCACGTGCTGCGGTCTAAATGTGGGTTTAAACGCTCTCACGTGCTGCCGCCTGAATGTGGGTTTAATCGCTCTCACGTGCTGCCGTCTAAATGTGGGTTTAATCGCTCTCACGTGCTGCCGTCTAAATGTGGGTTTAAACGCTCTGGCGTACTGCTGTCTGAGCGTGGTGCTGACATGCTTTGATGTGCTGTGCTGTCTGAATGTGGGTTTTGATACTCCGATGTGCTGCGCTGTCGTAATTTACAAGTTTGAAGGACTGTCGGCCTTGTTCTACACATATTCATTTTTATACATATATACTAGCCACATAAAGAAACTGTGCACGGAGAAAATATATTCTGGATTGAAATACAACACAGCAAGAACAAAATGATGCAGACGCTGTAGCAGCTGAATGATCGGACCATAAGAAAATGTCAACGAGACCTGAACAACATCTGTTACGATGACGTCAGAAGATTAAAATGGAGTAGGGGGTCAAAAGACAAAGTCACAAAGTCAATAACGGGTATGACCAACCTGTGCGTGATTCACAGCAGTGCATCGGCGACGCATGGAGTCCACCAAATGGGCATGGAAGGCCTGGGGAATGGCCTGCCATATCCTCCTCAAATCCTGTGCCAAGTCACGGACGTTATCTGGAGGATGTGGAAGACGACGCAGACGGCGCTCCATTTCATCCCACACATGCTCTATTGGGGAGAGATCTGGAGAATTTGCAGGCCATGGCAGTAACATGACATTGTTATGGTGAAGGAAATCCATTGCGACCCTAGCCGTGTGAGGACGAGCGTTGTCCTGTTGAAATGTCAATCCCTGGCCATGACGTTGACGGAAAGGAATGACCACAGGCCTCAGAATCTGATCTCTGTAGCCAACACCGGTGAGATTGCCCTGAACAACCACCAAAGGGGTTCGGTGCCGTGCTGTTATCCCACCCCAAATCATCACAGAGCCACCTCCAAAACGATTCCTCTCCACAATACAGTTGCGTGCATAACGTTCCCCCAAACGCCGGTAGACACGTTGGCGCCCGTCACTGTGGGAAATGTTGAACCTCGATTCATCTGTAAAGACAACATTTCTCCAACATATTCGAGGTTGGCGAACATGATTTCGACATCATCTTAGACGGTTGACTCGATGACGGTATGTCAGGATGGGACGTATGGCAGGGCGTCGTGGTCGAATCCCGTACTGACGTAGACGATTCCTGACAGTGTTGGGATGGATACGGCGCAGTCCAGGAATTGTCTGGGACGTCCTTACTGCCGTTTGGAACCTGTGTCGGAGATGTGTTACTCGAATCCATCTGTCCTGTCTTGGCGTCGTTACTCGGGGACGTCCTGAACGTGGGTGGTCGGCAACGTCATTTGTGTTCTGATAACGCCTCACCAATGCCGATATCGTGTTACGATGGCATTGGAAATGTGTTGCGACCTGTTGTTGCCTCATTTCCGCTCGGATCATTGCAATGGCTTCATGACGCTGTGCAGCTGTCAATCTTGGCATGATTTGCTTGTGATATGCTTGTGTCTGAGAAGTTTTGAATTTTTGAATGACCACAGATCATGCTTTCCAAAGAGACAGCGAATTTTGAGTTGCACATGCTGTGTACAGCTGCACAGGATGCACGTGCAGTAACACATTGCACGTCCATAGGCCCCACCAATGACGTCATATCGCATGGCACGTGCATGAGCGTTTGAATGTCTCCAATAGTTGCTGTGTTCAAACCTATATTTCATATATGGACGGTGTGCCCTTATATCTATATTTTCTCCGTGCACGGTTTCTTTATGTGGCTAGTGTATGTTTATGAAGTTTGATATATAATTATTTCAATATTTCAGCTAGAGGTGGTGGTTATGTCGACTACCTGAAGGATTGGCAGAAAGTGAAACAGGACAACCCGGACTTGCCTATCTTAACATTGTTTTATGAAAACTTGAAAAAGGTTTGTATGTTTTTTGTAGTTTAAGAACAAGATGACATGTGTCGACAAGATGTCTTGTCTTGCAAGTACACACTTAAAAGAAGTGTCTATGAAGACATGTAGCCCATAAGTATTGACATTGTTCACCTGGGTACGTTTATATAAACTAACAGGCAACAGAAACCTCAAACAAATCGAAATTCGCTTAAATTGCGCCCCTATGTTCCCTGTGCATGTCATCTGTTGTGAGGTACCTAACCACATGATAAATGTAACAGGGCGTGGAGTCATCCAACAGATGCTTGCTGACGGGGTAAACCTCTTTGGTCATGTGGACAAGGCGTCCGACCTCGTATTAGAAGGTCCGTGGTTCGAATCCCATCACGGGACTTGGAAATTTTATGGCCGCTACATAAATATAATATTACCCATGACACCCGTATCAAATGCAATACCATCGGATACCTTCTTCATTTTTAGTCACCATCAAACATGAGTCTACACTTCCTGTTGCCTGTCAGTTTAGACGTATAGGCGAACGTTTTGTGGTTTTGCTTGAGTCACATGTAGTTATACTTTATTAAATAGTTTTAGCTTTAGTATACAGGATCACAGCTTCCGGTTGTGTCAATATCTGGTATATTTTGAGAAATAGATTGGATGGGTGTACCAATCTATCCCCCGTCTCGATCCGAGTATGGATAGAATAGGACGGCTATTACGCCGAAGCCTTGGTCCTATATATTTCTTTTTTTAAATGTGGGCCATTTCACCGAAGTGGTAACGCCTAGTTTTGCTAAAGCTGCTGGCCACGACATTTGGTGCGGGTTAACAACCCTGAAGATTGTGCTTTTAGGATCCTGTTAAAAACATCAAAACGGTTGCCGACTTCATCGGAGAGTCAGTCACTGATGAGCTCTGTGAGCAAATAGCGGAAGCGTGCAGCTTTAAGAAGATGAAGGCTGCAGACACGGAAGTGAAGGAGGCTTTTGGTAATTCGTCCGATATCTGGAAAGAAAGTCACAAAGGAATGTACAGAAAAGGTGAAGTTAATCTAAGGTTTTTCATTATCTTCCTCGTAAATCAAGTGACGAGCCGGGATAGAGTAGGTCTCAGATACTATGTTGCTTGGTGTGATGACACACACGGATTAGAGGAAGTACCAAGAATTATATTTTGTGTTTTGAGGACACACGGTTAGAGTATGTTACATGTATTTTATTGCTTGCTGTGAGGACACACACGGGTTAGGATAGGCCGAAGTATCATATTGTTTGCTGTGTGGACACACGGGTTATAGTAGGTCCCAAGTATAATATTGTTTGCTGTGAGGACACACAGATTATAGTAGGGCCCAAGTATAATATTGCTTGTTGTGAGGACACACAGATTATAGTAGGGCCCAAGTATAATATTGCTTGTTGTGGGGACACACGGGTTATAGTAGGGTCCAAGTATAATATTGCTTGCTCTGACGACACACGGGTTATAGTAAGGCACAAGTATAATATTGCTTGTTGTGAGGGCAAACACGGGTTAGAGGAGGTCCCAAGTAATATTTTGCTTGATGTGAGGACAAACACGGGTTATAGGAGGTCCCAAGTATTATTTTGATTGTTGCGAGGACACACTCGGGTAAATACTACGCCTCAAGTTGTATATTGCTTGCCTGACCGGGACCCGGACCCGGACCCGGTTAAAACAGGTCACCATGCTATTGCAGAAACGATTTCAGGTAAAAACATGTGTTTTGAAGCAGTGGCCTAAAATATCCTGTCTCAAACATTGTTGATATCGTGTCTCAAACATGGTTGATATCCAGTCTCAAATGTGATTGAAATCCTGTCTCAAACATTGTTAGTCCTACTTGGACTTACGTATGTATTACTTACTTAAGATCTTACATATGTATAACTAACTTTAGGACTTACACATGTATTACTTACTAAAGGACTTACATATGTATTACTTACTTTAGGACTTACATATGTATTAATTACTTAAGGACTTACATATATGTATTAATTTCTTTAGGACTTACATATGCATTACTTACTTAAGGACTTACATATGTATTATTTACTTAAGGACTTACATATGTATTAATTACTTCAAGACTTACATATGTATTACTTACTTGAGGTCTTACATATGTATTAATTATTACTTCAGGACTCACTCTTTTATTACTTAAGGACTTACATATGTATTAATTACTTCAGGACTTACTCTTGTATCACTTACTTAAGGACTTACCTATGTATTAATTACTTAAGGACTTACATATGTATTACTTACTTAAGGACGTATATATGTATTAATTGCTTAAGGATTCACATATGTATTACTTACTTAAGGACTAACATATGTATTACTTACATAAGGATTTATATATGTAGTACTTACTTAAAGACTTACATATGTATAACTTACTTAAGGACTTACATATTAATTAATTATTTTGGACTTACTCTTGTATTATTTACTTAAGGACTCTCATATGTATTACTTACTTAAGGACTAACATATGTATATAACTTACTTAAGGGCTTAAGGACTTACTCATGTTTACTTACTTAAGGACCTAATTATATAATCATGTATTACTTACTAAAATATCTAAGGATTCATGTCCTGTTATTGTTTCAGGTGAAGTTGGTGATTGGAAGAACTGGATAACAGTTGCTCAAAACGAAAGATTTGATGACGTCATAGACCGAACGTTTGAGGGAACAGGCATTGTATTCACGTATGAATAGCTGACGGATTACAGGCTGATCATTTAAATATATGGTGGAAACTAAATACAAAATAACATTTATATGTATCAAGCACATATCTATGAATATTAATGTGTATGTTGCATGTCAATGTCAAACAGTGGACATGTGTACGAACCTTTGTATTGTTGACACTGACACCATGGTAAGGTGTGGAGGAATCAACCAGTGTTGTCACAAGATGGGTGTGGATGAGTGAGTGAGTTGTGTTTTAAATATATTTTATTGAAATATATTGTCAAGGGACTTGACAAAAGTTATCCAACAAAATTAATGTGGCCCTTCCCCTGATACATATATACAGATTTTTAAATATATGCATTATATTACATAGTGACAAACAGGGATTCACATACACACAAAAAGAAACGCACAGGTAGATCTTTAGTAAATTTATTGTACCCAATAAAGTCGATATATTTAATTTAATATCATAGATACAAATATGAAATTTTGGAGCTCGATAGTCACATGTTGTCGTTTCACAAAGGCATTGAAAACTGTTCATTGTCATGTGACATAAGGCCACAAGAATGCGCTGGACTCAATATCTCGTGTGACCGCCCCGGGCAGCAATCACGGCTCAGCATCTCCTCGGCGCTGACTGGGTAAGTGTACGAATTGTCCTGTAGAATTCTGCGCCATTCTGCTTGTAGCGCGTTGGCCAGTTGTGGGAGTGTCTGCGGCGTGTTCTGACGTTGGCGTACATGTCCATCGAGTTCATCCCAGAGGTTTTCGATTTGGTTGAGATCTGGAAATCTCGACGGCCAGGGTAAAGCGTTGATGTTGGCATTATGAAGGTAGTCTACCGTGACATGAGCTGTGTGCGTTGGAGAAACTGTGGAAACAGCTTCCTCTGGCAGTCAATGATTGGAAGAAGTTGAGGTTGAAGAATGTGATTCATGAAGCGATTTGCTGTCAAATGTCCCTGAACCACAACCAAGTCAGATCTCGTGATGTAGGATATGGCTCCCAACACCATGACACTACCGCCACCGGAATTGTCGAATTCACTCACACAATGTGGGACAAAACGCTCATTTCGACGACGATAAACACGTTGTCTTCCATCTCGCCGGTAGAGAAGCAATTGCAATTCATCGCTACATCACACTTGTCTTCAGTTTCTCAAATTCCAAGGCTGTAAGGTATGGTACCAACGCAAGCGTCGCTGTCGATAGATCCGTTGGAAAACAGGGACGATAACTGGTCTTCTGGGTCGGATTACAGCCTCGCGAAGATGGTTCCTGACAGTCTGGTCCGATATCTTCCTCAAACCAGGGATGGGTCCTGCAGTCTCCGTAGCTGTGGCATGGCGTAGGGGGAGCAGTCGAATGTAGCGATCCTGTACATGTGCAGGGGTGGTGATTCATGGTCGGTCGGTTCTCGGACGGTCTGCAGTGGAATTGAACTGTGTGTGTGGTCCCAAACGCGGCAAATGGTTGACGTTGAAGTGGCGTGGAACAGAAGACTCCGATTCCCCTCTTGGGATACGTCGTATGGCGATGTTCCGCCCGGCAGCACGGAGTCTCGGCATTTTCGAACTTGAAAAATGATGACAACTGAATGACAAATTATTATACCACGAGTTACGAATGCCATAACTCGCACGTGCATTTTGCTTTACTGTTTTCCTCCATGGCATTTTTGAACAAGTGTGAAAACAATGCCGTTTAAGACACTGCAAATCGACAAAGGCTGAGTTTTGACGCACCGTTTGTCTAATATCAGGCCACCAAAATTTTCCAATAACATATCTCCAATTTATATACCGGATTTTTTGTGTCGTCAGTTTCAATGAACCACATACTACCTGTGCGTTTCTTTTTTAGTATTATATTGCATGTACAGTGACACTTAACACTGAGTGAGATTTCTCAGTTCGCTATACACGTCACTAATTAGTGATAGATGGGGTTGTCGATGATCAGATATCAGTTCGCTGTATCCGTTAGTTCGCTGTAGAGTGTTCGTTATATACGTAAATTTTATATGATATTATATTGGAGATAAATCGGGGATTTTTTAACAGTTCGTTGTATCCGTTTGTTCGCTATATCCGTGTTCGTTATGTCCGTGTTCTACTGTATTTAGAAATGTTATGGAAGGACATTTTGTTACTGTTGAGCATATGTACACGAGAAATAAAGTATATTTATAATAATTATTGTTTTTACACGTATATTAATATCATTACAGAGTGAGCTAGTTTGCTTTGAACAGTTTTTCTGTTTTGTCTCCTTTGTGGTCGCTTCATGTTGGAGAGGACAGCTCGAACTGATGAAGGGCCTGGACGTGTGCTACATTGGCGAAACTGAGAAGCGCTTGCCAGGCCCTAAAACATAACTGGGGCGACCAACAGCACCCACACTACCACCCTCCCACCGCCTCCGTGGTCTACGGGTAGAGCGTCCGCCCGGAGAGCGGAAGGTCCGGGGTTCGATCCCAGGCCGCGTCATACCAAAATACGTTTAAAGATGGTACTTGTTGTTACCCTGTCTGGCGCTCGGCATTAAGGGGCTAAAACAAGGACTGGTCGGCTCGGAGTCAGTATACTGTGTCTGAGTGGGGTATTCATGTTAAACTGCGGCATGGTATCTCAGTCAGCTGGCACTATAAATCGGCATCAGTCCGGACTAGTACAAGCAGCCACACAAACACACACACGTACATGCACGTCGCTATATAAGTGCAATAATCTCGGACGCGACGTCAAACCCATTTCACTTCACTTCACTACCACCCTCTCATCGGTGTGCATTAAACTAGGTGACTGTCTTAACGCAACAGTCGACCGAGACCAGTTTAACCCACAATCATACAAAGGACAAAGCACACTGAACGTTGAACGAGTAATCAGTGTCACGTGACTATGATGAAAGCGAAGTCACGCGCTGTCGGACGTTCTGTCAACAAGGAAGCCAGTTTCAAGCGTTCGTTATAACTAGTACTGATTAACATGGAAAAACGACAGTAAGTATATATTCTCCTCAAGTAAGCCTCAGCGTTAATGCATTGATTTTTATTAGTTAACACCATACGCGACGATAAACGTGTTGGGCAGATGTTCGGTTGACGACGCCCCCATATCCTGATGACATGCATTCGGCTGCCCTCGGCATAATCCGTCAGATACACTGTACGTACGGGTGTGAGGTGCGGGAAAGTATCTCATATACTTGTAGCTAGGCAAAGGGAGGTAATTGTTAATTTGAAATCGTTTATTGGTTCTCAAACTGTATCCCAACCACCGCTACGACTACTCTTTTAATGCTGTAAGACGCCTGGGAAACGGGTCCTATCACCAGTCAGTGTGAGCGGTATAATGCTCCATGGCGCACCTTCCGCTTGGAGTATGAGTGGATAATGAAATTCGTGTTTAAAGCTCGATATGTTTTCTAAATGTGACAAATAGTATGTTTTAGCAATTCATGTATGTCGGGTGAGAAAGCGAATTGGAATTATGTAATGATTGTTTTTGCATCCGTTTAGGCGTGTTTTGTTGTGATTAGGTTGCCGAGAGAAGGTACTAGCATGGGAAAATACAGCTACAATCAGCTCGGTTGTATCACACTCAGTTCAAGAATTTAGAACTTGTTGAAGAAAAAAGAAAATTTCTGCAGAAAATAGAAAATTTCTGCTGAAACGATGTCATTTCAGGTCTACTTATTATTCATTTTGTTATGTTATCAACGTACAATACATTTCTTTGCGAAAAACACATAACTTTAAAGAGGGGGCAGTATTGGCACTCAGTTGTCTATGGCGCCGCAATAGACTATGCAGAATTGCGCCCCTTGCGAGTGCTAGGATCCGCGGGTTTGGAACCCAGGTTCATAATAATTATGATCGTTGGATAGCACATACCATTCTCGATGGTGGCACCAATTAGTAAACGTCAGTAACCTGCGTCAGGTTTGCTCACACATTAAACCAAGGTACAACTCATTAACGGCGTTAAAACCGACTCAGCCACTCACTCAACCACTCACGCACTCATCCTTCATAGAACTCCTGAGATTCTGGACTACAGGAATGAAAATGGTCATGGGTGGTCCTTCTACATCAATGACGGCGTCCTTCGGAGAGTTGTCACCACCCCTGAGGATGATATGGAAATGATCCGAAATGTTCAGAAGCTCGAGCTGAGGGACGATGACGTCATGATAGCGGCATATCCCAAATGTGGTAAGAACCTGAGATAGAAGATTTACTCAGTAAGTGATTTTAAAATGAATAATATGATTTCAAGAGTGTGACTGAATGTTGTTCAACGCCGAAGTAAGCATGTCGGTCAGTGTGGAAACACGAGATAGACGATGTACTCAATAAATGATTTCAAAATGAATGATATGATTTCTAGTGTGTGAACGAATGTTGTTGAACGCCGCAGTAAGAATGTGGTTTAGTGTGGGAACATGAGAAAGACAATTTACTCAATAAACGATTTAAATACGAACAATTTGATTTCTAGTGTTTTGAGGGAATGTTGTTTAACGGCGCAGTAAGCATGTGAAACAGTGTGAGGCAAACCGAAACCTTAGAAACTGTCACGCCATGCTGACGAACACGATCACTTATCTATCTACTCTCCGCGAGCAAAGTTACTTAACCTCCATTCAAAGAGGCGTTAAACCCAACACACCCACATAATGCTGTCTATTCCGATCCCTCCAGGTACCCACTGGTTGTGGGAAATCGTCACCATGCTCAGGGCCGGTAACTCTGAGTACCACAACAAGCCGAAAGAGATCGCCATGCTGGGGATGCCAAAATATGAGCGAGCAGATGAACTTCCCTCACCGCGGGTTCTGAACTCGCATCTTTACCTCCGCCATCTGCCGGAGAAACTGGTAGAGAAGCAAATTAAAACCATCTTCGTCATGCGAAATCCTAAAGATGTCAGCGTATCTTATTATCACCATGTCAACGGACTCAAACAGAGTCTCGGGTTTGAAGGAACGTATTCAGAATATCTGGATCTGTTTCTGAAAGGAAAAGGTGAGTAAAGATCCAATTAAGTCATATCAAGCCACTGGTTGTGGGAACAAACGGCATGTATGTGTTTATAATAATCTAATACCAGATATGCTGTATTAATGTGATGCTTAAAGAAGTCAACAATTGACATAATTTTCTTCAGCAAATAATCCCAATACAGTTCACGGTGGCACATTCGTGTCACGAAATCGAAATCCGGTTTGTAAACTGTCGTGCACGTTTCGGTCGATTGCAAGATTTGCAAAGAATGTACACCGCCAAGTCGGCGTCGGCGTCGGCGTCGGCGTCGGCGTTTTCATGATTTTAATCAAGAATCTCACGTGATTTCATGCACTTTGCGATGTAAGACCCGTTTTGTCACAATATAGATCTTGATTATTCATCAGATCGACTTGACTGGGCGCCGCCATTTAGTTTGAAGCAATTGCAAGTGATACAAGAGGTGGAATCTGATTGGCCAATAGGAGGGGCACAGAAGGGACCCAACTCGTAATAACCACTGGTGGCGCTACGATCGAGCCAAGAAATTCCAGTCTAGTTCGAAAAGGGTGGAAACTGGACAGTCAGTTCCCACCTCGGTAAGATGAGTCGTTTTAGACGCCACAATTCGTTGTGCATAGTTGAGGCCCTTGGGCACTACCAAAACCTAAGAACGTGGGCTCGAAACGGTTCACCCTGATTATGGTTCAAGCATTGTCAGCTCTAAACCCGAGCTTGTGGATTTTACCAAAGTGGTGGACATCTGAGACCTGCATCTCTACGGACTTTCTTCCCACACTCTAACGTCCTGCAGCCTGAATGTGGGCTTAGCGTTCTTACATGGTTCGCTCTCTGAATGTGTAATGTGATTCTATGTAGCATCGCTGCTTCAGTGTGTACCTTCTTGTGTTTCTGTTTGTTTGTTTGGTGGTTGTTTAACGCAACACTCAGCAATATTCTATATGACGGTGGTCTGTAAATAATTGAGTCTGGACCAGACTATCCAGTCATTGACATCATGAGCATCGATCCAAGCAATTGGGATACGATGACATGCATCAACCAAGTCAGCGAGCCTGGTCGCCCGATCCCGTTAGTCGCCTCTTACGACAAGCATAGTCGCCTTTTACGGCAAGACCGCCCCCGTGGTCTAGTGGTAGAGTGTCCGCCCGGAGAGCGGAAGGCCCGGAGTTCGATCCCCGGCCGCGCCATACCAAAACACGTTAAGAAATGGTACTTGTTGTTACCCTGTCTGGCGCTCGACATTAAGGGGCTAAAACAAGGACTGGTCGGCTCGGAGTCAGTATACTGTGTCTGAGTGGGATATTCATGTTAAACTGCGGCATGGTATCTCAGTGAGCCAGCACTATAAATCGGCATCAGTCCGGACTAGTACAAGCAGCCACAAGGTATATAAGTGCAATAACCTTGGACGCGACGCTAAACCCCATTTCACCTCACCTCACCTCACCGTTTATGGGAAGCAGGGGTTGCTGAAGACCCATTCTAACCTGAATTTTCACGGGTCCGGCCTTGTTGACAAACGCTATTATGTACAAAATAGTATTTTGAAGTTTTATATAAATATATATGTCAAATGTTTCAGTCAGCAGTGGTTGTTATTTCGACTATCTGAAGGATTGGCAGCAAGTGAAACAGGACAACCCGGACTTGCCTATCTTAACATTGTTTTATGAAAACTTGAAAAAGGTTTGTAATCTTCATCGTTTAAGACCAAGATGGCCTGTATCGACAAGACGTCATGGTCTGCTAAGTATACAGTTAGAAGATTGATTTGTATTCCATCATTATGTTGAGTGAGTGAGTGAGTGAGTATGGTTTTACGCCGCTTTTAGCAATATTCCAGCAATATCACGGCGGGGGACACCAGAAATGGGCTTCACACATTGTACCCATGTCGGGAATCGAACTCGGGTCTTCGGCGTGACGAACGAACGCTTAAACCACTAGGCTACCCGACCGCCCCCTCATTATGTTGAACTTGGTACATCTATATACACTACACCGGGCAAAAAAAGTAAGCACTTGAAAATTCCCACTTTGAAATGGTTACTCCAACGTGACGCCATGTCCATGTCATCTGCTGTGAGATATACTCATTGATATTAGGTATGTAATATCGCCTGTGATACCCGAAGCAAATGGGAAATTCACTGGCGAATAACAATTTCTTGTTTGTTTCAATGTTGGCCACCATCACACACGGGGATGTACTTTTTTTTTCCCCGGCAGTTTTGATGTTGAATGGGGAAACGTTTTGTGTCTTCACAATTTAGCAATCATGTTATCTTTGGAAGATATGTCACCACTAGTTTAAGGGTAGAAGCTGGCCAAAACATTTGGCTGGACGGAATAACCCTGATGGTTTTCATTTAAGGATCCTGTTAAAAACATCAAAGAGGTTGCCGAGTTCATCGGCGAGTCAGTCACTGAAGAACTATGTGAGCAAATAGCAGAGGCGTGCAGCTTTAAGAAGCTGAAGGTTGCAGCCACGGACGTGAAGGAGGAATTACCAAATGGCAATCGGTCAGAAGTCTGGAAGGAAGGACACGAAGGAATGTACAGAAAAGGTGAGATTAATGTGAGGTTTGCCATTGTCTTTATTTGAATCGTAAATCACACGACCATCCGAGTTGAAGAAGGTCCCAAGTATTTTATTGCTTGTTGTGAGGACACACACGGGATAGAGTAGGTCCCTAGTATTATAATGCTTGTTGAGGGGACACAAACGGGTTAACTCGTGAAGATTCCGGTTGAGAATCGATCTACAGCAACCAAAGCTTGTAGCAAGAGACTAATGGGATTGGGTGGTCAGGCTCGGTGACTAGGCAGATGCATGTCATCCTATCCCAACCGCGTACACAGAAGATCATGAGGTCAATCATGCATTGTATTGCTTGTTGTGAGGACACATATGGATTAGGGCCCGTGAAGATCCGGGGTAGAATAGGTCTTCAGCAACCCATGCTTGCCGTAAAAGGCGACTATGCTTGTCGTAAGAGGCGACTAACGGGATCGGGTGGTCAGGCTCGCAGACTTGGTTGATGCATGTCATCGATCCCAATTGCGTGGATCAGTGCTCATGATATCAATCACTTGATTGTCTGGTCCAGACTCTATTATTTACAGACCGCCGTCATATAGCTGGAATATTGCTGAGTGCGGCGCTACACAACAAACAAACAAACAAACAAACAAACATATGGGTTAGAATAGGATACAAGTATTTTATTGCACGCACTGGTAAGAATAGGTCCAAAATATTATATAGCATTTCATGAGAACCATCTAACCAGTAGAGTTGGTCCAAAGTATTATATTGCTTGTCGTCAGGATACACACTGTTTAGTATAGGTTACAAGTATTATATTGCTTGTCGTGAGGACACACACTGTTTAGTATAGGTTACAAGTATTATATTGCTTGTCGTGAGGACACACACTGTTTAGTATAGGTGCAAGTATTATATTGCTTGTCGCGAGGACACACACTGTTTAGTATAGGTTACAAGTATTATATTGCTTGTCGTGAGGATACACACTGGTTAGTATAGGTTACAAGTATTATATTGCTTGTCGTGAGGATACACACTGTTTAGTATAGGTTACAAGTATTATATTGCTTGTCGTGAGGACACACACTGGTTAGTATAGGTTACAAGTACTATATTGCTTGTCGCGAGGACACACACTGGTTAGTATAGGTTACAAGTATTATATTGCTTGTCGTGAGGATACACACTGTTGAGTATAGGTTACAAGTATTATATTGCTTGTCGTGAGGATACACACTGTTCAGTATAGGTTACAAGTATTATATTGCTTGTCGTGAGGATACACACTGTTGAGTATAGGTTACAAGTATTATATTGCTTGTCGTGAGGTTACACACTGGTTAGTATAGGTTACAAGTATTATATTGCTTGTCGTGAGGACACACACTGGTTAGTATAGGTTACAAGTATTATATTGCTTGTCGTGAGGATACACACTGGTTAGTATAGGTTACAAGTATTATATTGCTTGTCGTGAGGATACACACTGTTTAGTATAGGTTACAAGTATTATATTGCTTGTCGTGAGGATACACACTGTTCAGTATAGGTTACAAGTATTATATTGCTTGTCGTGAGGACACACACTGGTTAGTATAGGTTACAAGTACTATATTGCTTGTCGCGAGGACACACACTGGTTAGTATAGGTTACAAGTATTATATTGCTTGTCGTGAGGATACACACTGTTTAGTATAGGTTACAAGTATTATATTGCTTGTCGTGAGGATACACACTGGTTAGTATAGGTTACAAGTATTATATTGCTTGTCGTGAGGATACACACTGTTTAGTATAGGTTACAAGTATTATATTGCTTGTCGTGAGGACACACACTGTTTAGTATAGGTTACAAGTATTATATTGCTTGTCGTGAGGATACACACTGGTTAGTATAGGTTACAAGTATTATATTGCTTGTCGTGAGGACACACACTGGTTAGTATAGGTTACAAGTACTATATTGCTTGTCGCGAGGACACACACTGGTTAGTATAGGTTACAAGTATTATATTGCTTGTCGCGGGGACACACACTGGTTAGTATAGGTTACAAGTACTATATTGCTTGTCGCGAGGACACACACTGTTTAGTATAGGTTACAAGTATTATATTGCTTGTCGTGAGGATACACACTGTTTAGTATAGGTTACAAGTATTATATTGCTTGTCGTTAGGATACACACTGTTCAGTATAGGTTACAAGTACTATATTGCTTGTCGTGAGGACACACACTGGTTAGTATAGGTTACAAGTACTATATTGCTTGTCGCGAGGACACACACTGGTTAGTATAGGTTACAAGTACTATATTGCTTGTCGCGGGGACACACACTGGTTAGTATAGGTTACAAGTACTATATTGCTTGTCGCTAGGACACACACTGTTAAGTATAGGTTACAAGTATTATATTGCTTGTCGTGAGGATACACACTGGTTAGTATAGGTTACAAGTATTATATTGCTTGTCGTGAGGACACACACTGGTTAGTATAGGTTACAAGTACTATATTGCTTGTCGTGAGGACACACACTGGTTAGTATAGGTTACAAGTACTATATTGCTTGTCGTGAGGACACACACTGGTTTGAATAGGTTACAAGTACCATATTGCTTGTTGTGAGGACACACACGGGTAAGAATAGGTCCAACGTATTATATTGCTTGTCGTGAGGATACACACTGTTCAGTATAGGTTACAAGTATTATATTGCTTGTCGTGAGGATACACACTGTTGAGTATAGGTTACAAGTATTATATTGCTTGTCGTGAGGTTACACACTGGTTAGTATAGGTTACAAGTATTATATTGCTTGTCGTGAGGACACACACTGGTTAGTATAGGTTACAAGTATTATATTGCTTGTCGTGAGGATACACACTGGTTAGTATAGGTTACAAGTATTATATTGCTTGTCGTGAGGATACACACTGTTTAGTATAGGTTACAAGTATTATATTGCTTGTCGTGAGGATACACACTTGTTAGTATAGGTTACAAGTATTATATTGCTTGTCGTGAGGACACACACTGGTTAGTATAGGTTACAAGTACTATATTGCTTGTCGCGAGGACACACACTGGTTAGTATAGGTTACAAGTACTATATTGCTTGTCGCGGGGACACACACTGGTTAGTATAGGTTACAAGTACTATATTGCTTGTCGCGAGGACACACACTGTTTAGTATAGGTTACAAGTATTATATTGCTTGTCGTGAGGATACACACTGGTTAGTATAGGTTACAAGTATTATATTGCTTGTCGTGAGGACACACACTGGTTAGTATAGGTTACAAGTACTATATTGCTTGTCGTGAGGATACACACTGGTTAGTATAGGTTACAAGTACTATATTGTTTGTCGTGAGGACACACACTGGTTTGAATAGGTTACAAGTACCATATTGCTTGTTGTGAGGACACACACGGGTAAGAATAGGTCCAACGTATTATATTGCTTGTCGTGAGGATACACACTGTTCAGTATAGGTTACAAGTATTATATTGCTTGTCGTGAGGATACACACTGTTGAGTATAGGTTACAAGTATTATATTGCTTGTCGTGAGGTTACACACTGGTTAGTATAGGTTACAAGTATTATATTGCTTGTCGTGAGGACACACACTGGTTAGTATAGGTTACAAGTATTATATTGCTTGTCGTGAGGATACACACTGGTTAGTATAGGTTACAAGTATTATATTGCTTGTCGTGAGGATACACACTGTTTAGTATAGGTTACAAGTATTATACTGCTTGTCGTGAGGATACACACTGTTCAGTATAGGTTACAAGTATTATATTGCTTGTCGTGAGGACACACACTGGTTAGTATAGGTTACAAGTACTATATTGCTTGTCGCGAGGACACACACTGGTTAGTATAGGTTACAAGTATTATATTGCTTGTCGTGAGGATACACACTGTTTAGTATAGGTTACAAGTATTATATTGCTTGTCGTGAGGATACACACTGTTTAGTATAGGTTACAAGTATTATATTGCTTGTCGTGAGGACACACACTGGTTAGTATAGGTTACAAGTACTATATTGCTTGTCGTGAGGACACACACTGGTTAGTATAGGTTACAAGTACTATATTGCTTGTCGCGAGGACACACACTGTTTAGTATAGGTTACAAGTATTATATTGCTTGTCGTGAGGATACACACTGGTTAGTATAGGTTACAAGTATTATATTGCTTGTCGTGAGGATACACACTGTTTAGTATAGGTTACAAGTATTATATTGCTTGTCGTGAGGATACACACTGTTCAGTATAGGTTACAAGTATTATATTGCTTGTCGTGAGGACACACACTGGTTAGTATAGGTTACAAGTACTATATTGCTTGTCGCGAGGACACACACTGGTTAGTATAGGTTACAAGTATTATATTGCTTGTCGTGAGGATACACACTGTTTAGTATAGGTTACAAGTATTATATTGCTTGTCGTGAGGATACACACTGGTTAGTATAGGTTACAAGTATTATATTGCTTGTCGTGAGGATACACACTGTTTAGTATAGGTTACAAGTATTATATTGCTTGTCGTGAGGACACACACTGGTTAGTATAGGTTACAAGTACTATATTGCTTGTCGCGAGGACACACACTGGTAGTATAGGTTACAAGTATTATATTGCTTGTCGCGGGGACACACACTGGTTAGTATAGGTTACAAGTACTATATTGCTTGTCGCGAGGACACACACTGTTTAGTATAGGTTACAAGTATTATATTGCTTGTCGTGAGGATACACACTGGTTAGTATAGGTTACAAGTATTATATTGCTTGTCGTGAGGATACACACTGTTTAGTATAGGTTACAAGTATTATATTGCTTGTCGTGAGGATACACACTGTTCAGTATAGGTTACAAGTATTATATTGCTTGTCGTGAGGACACACACTGGTTAGTATAGGTTACAAGTACTATATTGCTTGTCGCGAGGACACACACTGGTTAGTATAGGTTACAAGTACTATATTGCTTGTCGCGGGGACACACACTGGTTAGTATAGGTTACAAGTACTATATTGCTTGTCGCGAGGACACACACTGTTTAGTATAGGTTACAAGTATTATATTGCTTGTCGTGAGGATACACACTGGTTAGTATAGGTTACAAGTATTATATTGCTTGTCGTGAGGACACACACTGGTTAGTATAGGTTACAAGTACTATATTGCTTGTCGTGAGGACACACACTGGTTAGTATAGGTTAGAAGTACTATATTGCTTGTCGTGAGGACACACACTGGTTTGAATAGGTTACAAGTACCATATTGCTTGTTGTGAGGACACACACGGGTAAGAATAGGTCCAACGTATTATATTGCTTGTCATAAGGACGCGCACTGGTTAGAATAGGTCAAAGTATTATATTGCTTGTTGGGAGGACACGCACGGGTTAGAAAAGGTCCAAGTGTTATATTGCGTGTCGTGAGGACGCGCACTGGTTAGAATAGGTCAAAGTACTATTTTGCTTGTTGGGAGGACACGCACTGGTTAGAAAAGGTCCAAGTGTTATATTGCTTGTCATGAGGACACATATTTATAAGAAATCGCTGTCAAAAGCCGGGTCAATTGTACGATTCCCATTACCTAAATGCTCTCCATATTCGTAACATAAAACGTTTTGAAAGTTATACTGAGGCCTTGACTTTTGCAACCTTGATTAAACATATCCCGAGTAAGGGCCCTATGACGCGTTTTGAAATCTTGGTAGAAAGAACAAGCTCGATCGTGTCTCAAAACTTGTGAAATGTAACCCAAAAGCCTGGAGCTGCAGGAATATTGCTCGACATAAAGGGAAAGTTGACTATTGGAAAGTTGTGGATAGTGTTTGTGGAGAGGGCAATGTTCCAGTATACCTGCAGGGCCATGGCATATATTACTTGCTTGAGGACTTAAGTACTTACTCGTGTATTACTTGAGTACGTACACATGTTTTTACTTCCTTAAGGACTAATATCATGTACCGTTATTGTTTCAGGTGAAGTAGGGGATTGGAAGAACTGGATAACAGTTGCTCAAGACGAAAGATTTGATGACGTCATAGACCGAAAATTTGAAGCAAAAGGCATTGTTTTCACGTATGAATAGCCAACAAATAACGGGGTGATCATATTTATATGTTCTTGATGAAACTAAATGCCAAGTATCAGTATTATTTGTCAAGAGCCGAACCCACATTCAGAGGATACTATTAAACAAGTATATATGCAAGGCGAAGAATGGTGCCTAGGATGAATGGGCAACCAGTGCCCCCAAACAGACCAACTGAACTACTGAGTATTATACTGCATGTTTTAGAAATGATATGGGAGACTGTCTTATTTTGTCACTGTTGATTATATGAATGCGAGAAATAAAATATATTTATTCTTTATTCTTACACGTCTATTATTGCAGGGTAATATGATTGTAATGCGAGTGAGTTACGCCGCTTTGAACACTATTTAAGTTATATCACGGTGTGGCAGTTTGACGTTAGAGGAAAGCTGGTGCTAATGCAGACCCCAGACAGGGCAAGGTGATCACAACCCTAGAAACATCACCAGGGCGACGTGATACTCGAACCAACGATCATAGGTACGGGCACGCCCAAGGGACTCAACTCTTCACAGCCCCCAAAGGACCCGTTGAAGTTTGAACTTCATCTGCTACAAATACAATAAACCAAACGATTTAACGCAAGATTTCAATGTTATTGCACATAAAGATCAATCAAGTCCACAATGACATACATGTTGTCCTGAAGAAACAACGCTTGAGCAAGAGTCGTATGAGGTTCTTTGAAATTTTAATGGAAAGAACATGCTCTATTGTACTTCAAAAGTTGTGACATGCAGACACCAGAGGCTGAAGCTGCTAGAATATTGCTCCGGGTACAAATGTTCTACCTCTCTGGATGACCACACTCGCCCTGTAAGTCGCTCGAGCTGCCTTTTATATGCTCTTGTCCTCTTGGAATATTCCTCAAGTTGAAACTGCAAATCAGCCAATTTATACTCAAGTAGTGCCAACGTACACACTTCGCTATTGATGACGATGCCAATGAACACAATACTCTGGGTATGTGTTTGGCCGTCCGGCACTTTGTTCCAATCGATCAAACAGAATCCCATTTCTCTGATAACCTTCACTAATTGTACGAGAGCTTGTACACACTGGTCAAGAGTGCCATATATCACCAGAAAATCATCAACAAAAGCAAACACATAAATTCCATAGCATGTCTTCATGACGCACGGCCGCACTAAGTGTCCGAAAAATGTATGGAAGCTTGCTATTATACACATAAATGACGTCCTGGTTACAATGGAAACGCCAACACCCACCAGTCAAAATAAAATTACTAGGATGTAGCTTTACTGAACGAAGAGGGCTTTTCAAATCTAACTTTGCCAAATAACTTCAGGGTTTTATAATTTTTAACGCATGTCATAGATCCATTGGCTCACACGCACAATTAGTCATGCAGCCGTTCATGCCATAAAGGCAAGCTGCGATCATTCATTATACGATCATTCATTATTTATTCTCTGTGAGCAGAGAAACTATCAGACTAACTAATGTCGTTTTGGATCAGTCACTATATGATGTTCTAAATTTTAATTCTTTCTTGATCTGCCTCTCTGTTAAGTCCCTAGCCTGATCAAAAAGCTGATCTGTGAATCACTAAAGAAACCGATTTCACCATTGTGTTCTCAAAATCAGCCAATTTACACCCACATTTTACTCTTTGTAGGCCTCCATCGTGTAGGTGACGGCTCCACGCCTCAATGTTTACTGCATTGTGAAGGTGTGGTCCCGTGTTTCGTTTACTCGCGTCTTGTTTCGTTTCAGGATGAGGGTAATGCATGTCATTTCCATTTTGTCCGAATTGACCAATCCGAGAGTTTTGACCTGGACCAGTGTGTCCCGGCTTTTGACAGACAACACACGAGAGTAAGTCTACTGTTGTCTCTGTAACACGAGCCGGTATTGTAGCTTCTGCAGATGACATTCATACCTGAACAGACATCGGGACTTGTTGGAACCGACGTTTGACGCTCAATTGAGTTTCCATTTGACGGAGTAACCGGCAGTTAATCTTTGGTGTCAACCGACAATCTCTGATCTCTTGTGAAGGCTTCCCACAGCAAAATTCATCTTCGGCGAGTCGAGAACGGTACTCGTGATCATTAAGAAGCACCGATTTCATTCCTGGAAATCATCCCTACAAAGATAGGAATGCTTGCATACGTCCACATTGCTCTAGCCGACTTTCTCGAAGATTCCTCACTGTGTGAAGACTCCGTCCATACAAAGTCCGAAATCCTCCGATATTTTGTAGCTTCTGACCTAGATCTATGGGTGTAGGTGAACCCTGACCTCTCTCTGCGGGTTCAATATGGCCGCCATCTTGTTGACCGCCATCTTGTTGACCGCCATTCCGTGCTGGCTGACCTTGAACACTCTGAACCGTCTGTACCTCTTTTAGGCCCTGTTCTAACTTAGGGACCACTTCTCATATCGATAGTGAAGCTCTTCAATTCCAGCCAGGAAGAAAGTTTCTGAAGCCACCCTGAAAAACCCATTCACGGTAGCTTTGAGGTCATTATTATCGTCATAGTGCTTTCCACGAAGCCGTTCTTTCAGTTCAGGAAAAAGGTGGAAATCACTTGGTGCCAGGTCTGGCGTGTATGTAGGGTGAGAAAGCTCTTCAAACCCACATTGTCGCACAGAAACTTTTGCAAGTCGAGAGGTGTGAGAAGAGGCATTGTCATGATATAGTAGAACTCCAGCAGTCAGCATTCCTCACCGCTTTTCTTTTTATAGAATCTTTCAGGCGATGAAGGAAATCAGCATAGTAGGCACCGGTAATCGTCTTTTGACTTTAGACCCATGTAGCAAAACCAATCACTAATCTCTTTTTTAAATTTTACGAAATCCTCCTCAATTATCTCTAAATTTTCTCTGGCAATGTCAGTTATTTTTTCCTTAAGATCAGAATTTAGAAACTTTGGCACCCAACGAGCAGATATCTTATTCATCTGTGAATGTTCATGCATAATAGTTTCAATGGATCCATGGCTTAGACCTATGTCTTCTTCAAGTTCAGCAATGGTAATACATCTATCTGACAGTATAAATTTGTCTATCTCCTTGATTGAATCTTCATTGATGAAAGTTGAGGTTAATCGTTCGGTCACCGGAGGGGAACATTCCGTGTATTGACCGATTCCCGGCAGATGACCTTTCGGCCATCCTCCAGTGACCGTACCACACCTGCGCACTGCAAAATATCTCCGATTCCCTCACGGTCTGGCAGGTGTCGGAGGGTCACTGGTGGCTGCCGGAAGATGTGTCGCAGATCTATTACCGATGGGGGTGTGGACCACAGGGCGCCGCAAGAAAATAACTCGGAGTTATTTTCTTCCGATGTGTCCACCGGGGTTTTCCCGATGTCAAAAACATAGCCACTGCTCACAGATGATCGTCCGGCGCCCCGTCAGGTATCTCTCAATTTTGCTGATTTTCGGCCTTTTGGGGCATCGTAAACTAATCTTTCCCGGTATCGGTGGATATGTGACTCCGGCATAGAGCAACAACAACACTTGCCGCTCTTAAAACAAGAACTGTTGTTAGACCTGCTATCTGTCGTAGATCTCCTTAAGCCATGAGATGCACTAGCGAAGCCCAAACTAAATATTTCTGAAAGATGGTCAGTTTCGAACGTATCTAAACAGGGCAGCCCAAAATATCCTACTCAATAGAAGGGCAAATCAGCCGAAATTGCTCAGGCAGAATGTTACTGCCAAACCCATTCGACAGAGTGTGCCGATAGCCGTTCTGCTGCTGTCGAACCTATTCGACAGAGTGTGCCACAAGCCGTTCTGCTGCTGTCGAATCCATTCGACAGAGTGTGCCGCTAGCCGTTCTGCTGCTGTCGAATCCATTCGACAGAGTGTGCCGCTAGCCGTTCTGCTGCTGTCGAATCCATTCGAGAGACGAATAGCAGAATGACACCCGTAAAGAAATCTCTCAAGAAGTGTTCAGATATTATGTATGATATATATAAATACGCAGCTTTGTAAAAATTTCAAAATGTTAAGTAGTTTTTTAACCTCAAGTAAACAATACAGCAAGTTGAAAAGGTATGGGTCCAATATCTAGGCACATGACCCCCCGTAACGACCATTGTGGATTTAAGGCATGCGGTTCGATATTTTCTTTATACTGTTGTCATGTTTTCACTTGATCACAATTATTTGTTCGTTGATGAAAGGATACGCAAGTTCTTAATTTCTAAATATTAGCAAATTTCTATTTCATAAATTACATGTATAAACAAAAACATGCTATATCCCTACATCGTCAATTGGATTAAACGGACAGAATTATGACAACGGCGGTAAACTCAACATGCATCGTGATCCCGTAATATTATTACAATCCTTTCGTTGTCTCTAACTAAATTTTCTAAAAACATTTACTTAGATGATTATTTTGGGAAAATTAATGTTATATTTATTGAGTTTGTAAATGATTTTAAATTTGTAATTTTAGATTTACTCATTGCGCGGCTGTTTGCTCATAGAAAATATACGAATTGTAACTGAGTTAAATTCAAGATATCAGTGTTGTTAATATAAACCTCTTCTGACTCATAAAAAAATAATATTATTCAGTGATTTTGTCTCTGTTTGTTGTAGGGCCAGTCCACTTCGGGATGAAGGAAAAAGGCAGGAGATTAGGGACCCACTGCACTATTAACTTTGTTATCGCTGTTTTAGACTGTAGTGATTTGGGCATGTAGTTACTCTGGGAGCATACCGTTATCTGCATTGTCTAGTCACGTGCCTTATGTAATAGCGAAGTAACGCCAGGCTAGGGCAAAAAACAAGGGTATGTGCAAAGTCACGCGCTGAAGGAAGTTGTGTAAACAAGGTAGTCATTTTTCGAGCGTACTGATACACATGGAAAGTCAACAGTAAGTATATGTACTCAAATAAGCTTCAGCGTTAATGCAGTGATTTTGATAAGTTAAAATCACGGGATAAATGTGTTGAAGAGATGGTCGGATGACGACGCCCCTAAATACTGATAGCAGGCATTCGGCTCCTCTCGGTATAATCCGTCAAATACAAGATAAGTACGGGATTTGGGTGCGCAGAAGGAGCACATGTTCGTGAAGCTAGGCAAAGGGAGGTAATCATTACATTAACACTCGCTCACTATGGCCGCTGATAGATCTCCTCATGGCCAAGTACGCCATCACTCGAATTATCACCACAACGACTCTTTCATTACTGTAAGATGTTGGAAAACAGTGATCGGTCAACCTTCTCCTGGCAATATGAGTTCATAAGGATAATCGTGTGTATTGCGTAAAACTCGATATGTTTTGAAATTGATTGATTGATTGTTTGTTGTTTAACGCCGCACTCAGCAATATTCCAGCTATATGACGGCGGTCTGTAAATAATCGAGTCTGGCCAGACAATCCAGTGATTGACATCATGAAAATGGATCCACGCAATTGGGATACGATGACATGCATCAACCAAGTCAGCGAGCCTGACCACCCGATCCCATTAGTCACCTCTTACGACAAGCATAGTCGCCTTTTACGGCAAGCATGGGTTGCTGAAGACCTGTTCTACCCCGGATCTTCACCGTTCTTTAAATAAGGGACTGGTCACTTATTATAGAGGTGTGTTTGTGTGGTGAGGATGGTCAAAGGAATGTATTAGATTTTCTCCCATTTTTTTGTAACATTTTCTCATGTCCCTTCCCCCCAATACAAATGTACATGCAATATTTATCAATAACCACACTCCATCCACCTCCTACCCTATAATAAATGACCATTCAATAAATAATGTTCAAATGCATAACAGTTTCTTTAAAAAAAAGGAACTGTGTAATTTGTTAATCAATCCTCCCACCTCCTTACAGTTGCGATAAAAGTTGGCGACCCCTACCCCTTAACCTCTCCTCAATAATATATATACATATTGTATATTATATATATTGCACAGAACACTGATCGATGGGGAGACGAGTATTCTTGCATGTTCCGGAAAAAGAAGCGATGTCATTTCAAAGGTCTATTTATTAGTCCTGGTGTTATATAATGGACACACATTACACTGTTTTGAAAAACAAACTTATTAGAGTTGGTAGCCCTGACACTCAGTTGTCCATGGCGCCGCAATTAATTGTCCGTGATTTAATAAAACCGTGATATAACTCATGGCGTGTTCAAAGTCACTCAACCACTCATTCTTCATAGAACTCCCGAGATTCTGGACAACCGGAATGAAAATGGTCATGGGTGGTCCTTCTACAAACATGACGGCATCCTCCGGGTAGTTCTCACCAGCCCTGAGGATGATATGGAAATGATCCGAAAAGTTCAGAAGCTCGAACTGAGGGACGATGACGTCATGATAGCGGCATATCCCAAATGTGGTAAGAACTCGAGATAGAAGATTTACTCAATAAATGATTTCAGAATGAATAGTGAGTGAGTGAATATAGTTTTACGCCGCTTTAAGCAATATTCCAGTAATATCACGTCAAGAGACACCGGAAAATGAGGTTCACACATTGTACCTATAATAGGAATGGAACCCGGGTGTTTGGCGTGACGAGCAAAAGCTTTAACCACAAGGCTGCCTCGCCGCCCCCGTAATGAAAAATGTGATTTCTAGCGTGTGAGTAAATGTTGTTGAATCCGCATTAAGCAAGTGGTTCAGTATGGGGCAAACCACCTAAACCACCAAAAACCCCTAGAATATCTCCCGTCAAGCTGACGAACATGGTCACCCATCCACCTACTCTCCGCAACCAACGTTGCTTAATCTCACCTGATTTATGACCTCAGTTCAAAGGGCCACGTGTCACCACATCATGCTGGCTGACACAGAAATACCTTTCAAAGAGGCGCTAAACCCAACTCACTCGCACAATGCTGTGTATTATCCTTATCCGTATCCCTCCAGGTACCCATTGGTTGTGGGAAATCGTCAATATGATCAGGGCCGGTAACTCTGAGTACAACAAGAAGGCGAAGGGGTTCGCCATGTTGGAGCTGCCGAAGTCCGAGCGGGCTGATGAGCTGCCCTCCCCGCGGGTTCTAAATTCACATCTTTATTTCCGTCATCAGCCGGAGAAAATGGCGGAGAAGCGAATTAAAACAATCTTCATCATGCGAAAGATGTCAGCGTATCGCTATACAACCATGTCAAGGGATCAAAAAAGTTTACAACGTTTGTTAGAACGTATTCAGAATTTCTGGATCTGTTTCTGGAAGGAAAAGGTAAGTGATACGTAGATGCTATCACGTACGATCAAGCCTCATGATAATAAGAAAGGCTGATAGTTTAATATGGGTATTACAATACATGTATCTGCTTATAATAATCTAACTTTATTCATATCATGTGTAAAGAGTCAACAACTGATATATTGCGTTTACTTTAGCAATTAAGCCCAATACAGTTCACCGTTGTCTTGTCGCCAAGACAAGCCAATTCGCCGTACTGAGTTGGGGTCCTTGGGTACGCCAGAAATATATGATCGTGGGTTCGAGTCCCGGTTGACCCGATGATGTTTCCCGGTTTGTCAGAACCATACCCGTGCTCGTGGGTTTCACCAAGACGGCAAATGTGTTAGACTTGCATCTCCTTGGGCTTTCCTCCCAAACTTAGGTGACACGTTATAACTGGAATGCTGTTCAAAACCCAACTCACTCACTCACTCCCTCACTCACCCACACTGTTCACGCCAAGACTTTCATTGTCGGTTCACGGTCCTGCATACCCCCATGTTCACAGGGGGCACGGATGGCCCAGTCGTCTAAGGCGCCGCGATTCGCTGTGCAGAGTTGCGTCCCTTGGGCACGCCAGAAACCTATGATTGTGGGTTCGAATCCCGGTTCGCCCCAATTATGTTTCTAGGTTTGTCAGCACCATACCCGTGCTCGTGGGTTTCACCGAAGTGGTAAACGTCTGAGACCCGCACCACTTCGGGCTTTCCTCCCACATTAAGTTTACACTCCATGGTGTAACTGGAATCCTGTTAAAAGCGGCATTATACCCAAGTCACTCACTCACACACACATGTTCACTACATATTTCAGTAATGAAAACCGCCACAACGTAGGTAAGAGGGAGGTAACTGTAACCTGACAGATGTTTAAACTTTTTTTTACTTTTGAGCACATATGGTTACACATGTTGTTAGCCTATCGTTTACCCTCTAAAAAATATATAATTTTGATAGACACAAACAAATCCATTAAAATTAATGTTTAACCCCAGTGAGATAGAAAACTCAGAAACTAGTTACACCTGCATGTGGGCTCCATGTGCAGGGAACAATTATAATTTTTGGGGTAACCATCAGATAAAGGTACAAATGACAGGAATAGCTATAGACATTGGTCTTCTTTCCAAGCTCTGTCCTTTCTCCATGGAGTCAGAACCTGTGGAAAATCTAGACTTGCGTCACTCAGGGCTATAGCAGTACAGTAAGTGCTGGATGGAAGAGAAGCTAGCTTAAGTCACGCCCCGGAAAACTGGTGCACAATGGGTGCATCAATGCAGTGTATCAAAGTCAAGTCAAAGATATTTATTGCATGCAAGGCCTCCGGCCCATATACAAGAGAGTTACAAATAAGTAGTTGTACATATTTGTACTCATGATTTGTACAAATGGGAAATTGCATTTTTAACATATATAGCCAGTATTAATTTGACAACATCATCTTTTGAGGAAAGAAGAGAAATTATAGCAGGTACAGGATAATTTGACAGCGTTCTGGTATAAACATGTTTCTTAGATCACAATAATTAGGACATTCAAAAGTAAAACGAATTTCATCTTCTATAGCTGAATGACATAATGGGCACAACCTATCTATCATAGCGGATTGCTAAAGTGTAATTTTTCTGAGAGAAGGTGGTTTGAGTTGTTATTGTCTAGGTCGATCAACGACATTATAAGGTACACAGATATGATCTCGAAAACCTACCCAATGGTTTGAAAAAACCGTAAAGCAAATAATGAAAACGGAACGCCATTACGACCACATAGACTGAATGAGCTCTATCAGATCCAGACTCTACGTTTCGACTTTCATTTTTTCTCCACTGGAGAAACTGTATCATTGATGCCTTTTTCTTTCGGTTGTATGGCAATGGTTCTACTGTAATTAATTCATAGCTGATATAACGTGTTCATGTCAATTCTATTTAAAGGTGCCCTTACGAGCAGCCTGAATATGCATGTGAACGCTTTGACGTGCCGCTGCTTAAACGTGGGTTTAAAACGTCTGACATGGTGCGCTGTCAGAATGTGGTTATGAACGCGCTGTGCCTAAATGTGGGTTTAAACTCTCTGACCTGCTGCGCTGTCTGAATGTGGGTTTAAACTCTCTGACCTGCTGCTACCTGAATGTGGGTTTAAACTCTCTGACCTGCTGCTACCTGAATGTGGGTTAAACTCTCTGACCTGCTGCTACCTGAATGTGGGTTTAAACTCTCTGACCTGCTGCTCCCTGAATGTGGGTTTAAACTCTCTGACCTGCTGCTTCCCGAATGTGGGTTTAAACGCTCTGACATGCTGCGCTGTCTGAATGTTGGTATAAACTCTCTGACCTGCTGTTCCCTGAATGTGGGTTTAAACGCTCAGACGTGCTGTGCCTCATTTGACGTACTGACGTGCTGCTTAGATATGGGTTTAAACGCTCCGACGTGCTGCTCCCTGGGTGTGGATTTAGATTCACTGACATGCTGCAGCCTGAAATTTGTTTTTCTATTCTCTTACATGCTGAGTGGGGATTTTCACGCCCAGTATTGCTCTGTTTTATCGCTACTTCAGTAGGCGCTGGCCTTCCTGTAGACATATGCTTACATATAAATATAATTATTTTTTTTTATGTTTATGGTGTTTCATTTAATTACTTCCAATGTTTCAGTTCCCGGTGGTGGTTATGTCGACTATCTGAAGGATTGGCAGCAGGTTAAACAGGACAACCCGGACTTGCCTTTCTTAACATTGTTTTATGAAAACCTGAAAGAGGTTTGTATTTCTTTGTAGTTTAAGGTTTTTGGGGAGGGGTTGCCTCTGCTGCCCCTTTCTGGACCTGCTTTTGGATAGAACAAGAAGGATGCTGCGTCGTAGTAATGATTCTACATTTCTGCATGTTTGTAATGTGGACGATTTCACCTGAAATGGTACCGCATATTTTAACGGTAGGGGCTAGCCACGACATTTGGCAGGCGGGAATAACGCTGGTGGTTTTGATTTTAGGATCCTGTTAAAAACATCAAAGCTGTTGCCGACTTCATCGGCCAGTCAGTCACTGATGAACTCTGTCAGGAAATAGCAGAGGCGTGCAGCTTTAAGAAGATGAAGGTTGCAGACACGGAGGTGAAGGAGGATTATGCTGAACGGTCCGAAACCTGGAAGGAAGGCCACACAGGAATGTTCCGTAAAGGTGAACCGTAATTCATATGAAGACCCAAGTTAGAGTAGGCCCCAAGTATTATATTGCTTGTTGTGGGGACACACGCGGGTTAAAGGAGGCTCAAAGTATTATATTGCTTGTTGTGGGGACACACACAGGTTAGAGTAGGTCCCAAGTATTATATTGATTGTTGTAAGGACACACACGGGTTAGAATAGGTCCCAAGTATTATATTGCTTGTTACGAGGACACACACACACACAAATGCTACAATACGTCTCAAATTGTGTAATGACTCGGATCTATGCAGTTGGGATACGATGACATGCTTTAACCAAGTCACCGAGTCTGACCATCCGATCTCACTATGGGCCTCTTTTGACAAGCATTTTCACGTATATACCTTTGTATGACTCACTTGCTAATGTCTTACTATTTAAGAATTGTATCATGTATTGCGTACTTAAAGACGTATTTATTCATAACTTAACTGAAGAACTTACTCAGGTTTAACTTACTTGTGGAAATAATCATGTACTTATACTTTTAGGACTTATGCATGTACTCCTAACTTTAGGACTTATTCATGTATTACTTACTTAATTGACTCACTCTTGTATTACGTACTTCATATTTTACTCATGAACTACTGTCCTAAGGACTTGCGGACTTACAGCCATGTACTGTTGTTGTTCCAGGTGAAGTCGGGGATTGGAAGAACTGGATAACAGTTGCTCAAAATGAAAGATTTGATGACGTCATAGACCGAACGTTTAAGGGTACAGGCATTGCATTCACGTATGAATAGCTAACCGATTTTTAAAGTTGTGACCAAAACGGTCGGCAATACGTCTTTCATCCATTGTAATAAGTTGTATGTAATAGAACTATGTCCCTTGTTCATGTGTATATGTTATCGAGGAAACTAAATGCCAAATATCAGTATTAATGAAGAACATATCTATGGATACTAATCTCCATGGTGTGTGTCCATGTCAATCAACAGTTATAACTGATGAGATATGTAGTGCTGACAAAGAAATCGAAGCGTTGCGGAAACAACAAATCCTATTATGAAATTGATGTGTACGTATGTGTGAGTGAATTGTGTTTTACGCCGTAATGAAAAGTATTAAGTTGTATCACTGAGTGTCAAATTATTGAGAAAAGCTCAAATGACGCGACAATTTGTTGAAACTCTCGGGTATAGGCATAGTACCGACAAAGCAAGGAACATAATCACAACAAATCTAGGATTCGAACCCACGATACTGTTACTACTAAACTCTGAACAGCGAAATGCGGCGCCTGTGGTGAATGGGCGACCAATATCCCTAGACAGACCACGACTGAACAATGGAGCATTACACTGGGTGTATCTAGAATTGCCTATTCCTTATATTGCTACTGTTGATCATATGTACGCGAGAAATAAAATATATTATTTATTGTTTTACACGTCTTTTCTTGCAGGGTGATATGGTTACGGTGTGAGTGAGTTTGGTTTTACGCCGCTTTAAAAGCTTTTTCAGTTATATGATCATGACACTGTGGAAGCTTGATGGTGGAGGAAAGCATGAACTGATGCAAGTCTTAGACGTTAACAACACCAGTGAAACACACCAGCAGAGTAAGGTGCTGACAAACCCAGAAACATTTTGGGCGATCAAAGGTACTGCCGCGCCTAAGGGACGCAACTCTTACAACCTCCACTGGACCACCCGTGACTCCCTTTGACGTTTGAACTTCATCTGCTACTAATACAATAAGCCAAATGCTTTAACGCAATATTACACTATGCTTGTCGTAAGAGTCGACTAACGAGATCGGATGGTCAGGCTCGCTCACTTGGTTGATGCATGTCATCGTCTGGTCCAGACTCGATTATTTACAGACCGCCGTCATATAGCTTGAATATTGCTGAGAACGTCTTTAAATAACAAACAAACAAAACATTGAGATCAATCAAATCGACGATGGCATACATGTACCTCTAAGGAAACTATTAAATAAGTTGACATCCATCGATCATGACGAAGGAAATCTTGAGTTACGAAGACTGTGATGTTGTGAGATTGGTTTTATTTCGTCATGCTATAAAATAAAGTAAAGCACCCACATTATTTCCATAATCATAAGACATCTCTGCTTAACGCAGAGTCCAGTGTACAAGTCCGACTGTATCATGTGCAAGTGTTTGTGAATTACTATCAAATAGTGATGATACCAGGTGTTTTGCGAAATTGTGAGTGTAACCTGCCCCACTGCAGAGTGTGTCAACTTAATCCGAACGTACATTTACTTCCAAGTGGAAATGGACGAGGCCAACCAAAATGTCCTTCAGCGTAATCAAATAATACAATATTTATTTATTTTTGAGACTGTGCTTGTTATTTTCTAATCTGTAAAAGCCTTTAATGGGCATTGTATCAACGTAATTATCGGCATCGAGTAAACAATGAAGCTAAGGCGCAATTTTCCAGTCAATCGTTTCGCAATTGTACTAATGGGTTCTCAATGCTTTAGCTGATAGGTTTGTTGTAATATCTGGCATTAATTGTCCACGTTTGAAAACTTCAGTCTGTCATCCCAAGTGAAGATGTTGAGTGAGTATAATTATCAAACATGAAGTTATATATAAAAAATATAATTTTAACGCCATTTAATTTTAACCAGTCTTAACAGATTACCTTGGGTGTAAAACACAAAATTACAGCGGAAATATATGAATATGAATGGATCAGTTAAAAGTGATGATGACACCATGTGCGAAATGGATCCGTGTGTCCTGCCCTACCAGTAGTGCCCGCCACTGCACAGGTTGCACACAGAACAGTAAGCTTTGGTTGCCTGCCAACGCAACGCCCCACTCCTGCCATGCGACAACGGCATGTAACAAACCAGAAAAGTGATGGACAAGAAATGCAGTTACACGATAGCACATTTACTGATTTTGTTGAAACTAAAAACGATACGTTAATTTCATATACATGTTGAAATTCTTTTACTTAAAAGTAAAGGCGTTTGAGAAATATGCTCGTTTTGCAACACCGAGTTGGACAGTTTCAATGTCTCGGTCCGAACATTTCATTCGTAGATGACACAGCATAAATGATAAATGTTACAGTGTTTATGATGACATCATTCAACGCCTCAGTCAGTGTTCATATTTCTGTATATTAGCAGCTGTTTGCGATTGCCGCAACACAATAAAAGGGAGACTACTGTCGAAGTATTATCTCCCTTTGAACACGATGAGCACGAACCATTAGTAATTGCTTAACACAGTCCACGGTTCGTAACAACACAATACATCAAGCAAGGGTACCGGATGCGCCCGTGCAAAACACATGCAAGGGCAAGTCAATTGTTCACCTGAGAAAAAACCCGGGAACATATGGTACAAGTCAAAATAGGAATTCCATCAAAAACTATTTTGGTCACTGATGCGTCATATTTGGAATTTTACCTTGAATTTGGACATTACTCGATTTTGATTTGTCAATCAGAGGTGTCAGTTCACAATAAACCCCCTCTGGTTGAAACAGTCGATTGGACGGCGGCACCATCACGGAAGCTCATATTCTTCTACAAAATGCAAAGTGGCGGTTACTACAATATTCAAAGGAAGCGTGGCAATACATTTCGTGCAGAAAGCACGAATGAAATCTACAAAGAGAATGTAGGAGAGCTTGCAATGTGGCGCTTTATTACAGTGTATATACGACTGTGACGTCATATCTTTTGCGTCACAATGAGCGATATGACATCATAATATGGACGTGCGGCATGGAAGGAAACCTTTGCAAGGCTTACCTATTTTTCTGTAGGGGTGCCCACCTGATGTTAGCTTACGAAGTTGCCGAGCTACATGCTTTAGGTGCCTGTTCTACGTTCGAGTGAAGTATTACGGTGTAAACAACCACTTAAGCACATAGAACTCCATATTTCTTTAAAGGCTGTTGTCGGTGGTTCCGTAAATTCCGATCGACAACGCACTCAAAACATTCAACCCATATCGCTTCAAACAATACCTTTGTCAACACCAAAGAGTTCACGTTTTATTTATTCATGGTCGAATGGATACAAACACACCATGTTTTCAATACAGAGCTGGGCTACCTGCAGATTTAACCACGCCAAATTTAACATTTCAAACATCCCGCTGCGTTCGGATCAAAATTCAATTTCGCTCAACATTGAAAAAACAGTATGTTTATCTGCTAAATGTGAGCCACATGTCTATCATAAAACGTTTTAAAAGCTTTACTAAGGACTTGAATGCTGAAATCCTGATAAAACAGTCGTTTGACGCTCTTTGAAACCTTGGTAGGGCGGTAATGATTCATGGTACCTCAGAAATGAAGACAGACACCAAAGGCTGAAGCTGCTGGAGCATTGCACGACATAAAGAGAAAATTGACGTTTGAAAAGTTGAAGTCATCTGTCTTGTAATACAGTCCTGTGGATAGATTCGTTATGCATAGCTCTAAATTTGGGTAAATCAGTGGTAGGACATTGCCGACCTGACCACGAGTAAACGATATCAGATCATTTTCATATCTGAAGCTTCAGTTAAAGTTCTTGGCCATTTTCTTTCTCATTTTTCCTTTGCCAATGTAAGCTGAAAGAAATAGATCAGCAGGGAGGGGAGCACAATTGGTTTGCTTGGTGATGCAATATTTTGCCTAAAGGTCCTATTCCAAAATTTCGCTCAGATGTTGTCTATGAGAAACCCCAGCATTTTACGTATTGTTTTCTCAGTAAATTTCAGATGACATTTGCCTTCATTTTGTCCTTAACCTTTGACGAAAGTGATATGTAACTATATCCATGGTCACTAGGTAAAGTGACACATAACCCATGGATCAAGAGAGTGGAAATGGTATTTGGTGGTGCATTTTCTGAACCCAGCAATATAAAAATATAAATCTCTTTCTGTATGGATTTTTTTTTAGATTTGGAATCAGATTTAAGAGTCAAATCAAAATTTGATGGCACTGAAACGTGGTTTAAAATGGCATATTTCTTCCTCAGGTATCATACTGGCCTTTTATGTGAAATTATTCGAGATGTCACTCATACTAAGATCTTTGTTTAAACAATTATTGTAGTGACAAAGCCTAAGATAAAAGTATCTTTTTATTCTGCATGAGATCGCATGGGAAGTTTGGGACAGGATCGATCCGTAGTGTCGCATTGTTGCATAAAGAGCTGAATAATTAGAACCGTTTGGTAAGAATGAGTAACATTGCATGAAAAGTTGTCATTTAAATATCTCGGTATTTTTTGTCAAAGTTTCTAAAATTTAACATTTCCTTGTCCGGAAAAATGAATTTTGATGATAATAAAACAAAGCAGATGACAATAAAATCGATCGCCTAAACGCATCACGGCAACGGCCATGGTAACCCGATGCATGTGAGTTCCGTGCAAATTGAAATGCACATGCGTTCCCTCATTTCTTGCCCTATAAAAATCCACCCTGATCGGATAACATTCATTCGTTATTGAATTGTTACCACATGCCAAGATTGACAAGAAATCAACGACACCAAGCCTTTGGACGATTGCAAGCTGGACAAACCACCCGGCAAGTAGCCAATGCATTTCAAGTCCACGTAAGGACCATACACAGGCTCCAGCAACGGTACCAGACCACCAACACAACAGATGACCGATCACGTTGTGGAAGACCAAGGGTCACCACCCGACGTCAGGATCGTCAGATTGTGCGACAGCATCTTCAAGATCGCTTTGTTACTGCTGCGGAAACTGCTCGACAGACCATGGGGACACACCAGCGACACATTAATGCGGACACCGTGCGTCGACAATTGACGAGCAAACACCTCCACTGTCACAGGCCACACCGAGGACCCATTCTGACACCACGTCATCGACGGGACCGTCTTCAGTGGGCAACACAGTACTAGCATTGGCGCCATCAGCAGTGGAGAAGAGTCCTCTTCTCAGACGAGAGCCGTTACTGCCAAGTTTCATCTTTTTCACAAAGTGTCTCAAAGTATATTTTCAGTATTTGGACAAATACGGTTTCTCATATCTATCCATGGTGACGTTTCTTTTCGGCTCAGTATATAAGGTGACTGTTTCACACAAGTCCCCAGAACCCCAAGTCACAGAGCAAGACCAACGATCCAATTCATAAACACGGACGAGAAGCATCACAGGGCTTGGGATTATTGTAACCAGGTCCCCACCTGTCCTCAGTGAAATTTGTTTTCAAAAGAACAAACACAAAGACAAAACAAGGATGTTTGTGAAAATCAGCATGTGTATATGGTTTCAGTGCGGTCACTGTGTGTTATCTATTACATTACACGGCCTTGTTAAATTTTGCGGTCACTGTGTGTTATCTATTACATTACAGTGCCTAGCTAAAATTTGAAAATTGGATACGCTACAAACATCTTGTATTCAAGTTTACAAATTCAGAAATACGGAAGATTGGTCCCTCAAACGACTGCTGGATTTATACAATGCCTTGACTGGATGCATATATTCCGTACTTATTCCCGCATATCGTCGGATATTTCAGTCCTTAAATGCCCGAAGTGTGCTTTTCTTGCCATGCATACGGTAGTACTATCTCGTTTGCGAAAGTCAACACAGTTATTGTAAACGTGACCTCCTCACTGCACCTGAATATGTCAGGCTGACACACGGATTGCATGACACTAAGCAAGCAACGCGCCAACGTATCACCGAAAGATAGGTCACCGACATAGAAATGTATGATTCGATAACCCGCGCTTGATAATGCCTTTGCTTCAGAAGACAAACATCTACTATGACGTTTGACTGTGCATATATACTGTACCCGATAGTTTATCTGTGTGTGGACTTGGACAACCCTTTGGCCAAAAAAGAAACCGACTCAAGTATATCAGACAAAGACCTCGAGTTCTAGTTCAGACAGACAGACAGACAGACAGGCAGACAGACAGACGGACGGATGGATGGACGGATGGACGGATGGATGGACGGATGGACGGACGGACAGGTTTATTCAGTATTATGGCCATATGGCCTAAAGTACAATTGATTTTAACTCATTATATGATGTCACGTGGATATACAGAAACTTCATCTTCTTGAATATGATATTGAAATCATGCTTTATATAAGTAGCCACTGAACGGATTACATGTTATTTTGTGAGTTGATAACAGTTATCATTAACATTTCAGATTTATTGCAATTATTCAAGAACGAAAGATAGGAAGAGCTTATATTGGAACACTTGTTACACTTGAATAAGACATGGAATTCATCTTCAATTTCACCTCTGACACAATTAGTACAAACACTGTTACAGCATCAATATCTTTCGATGTACTACACATTTTTACGTTGCAATTAGGTAATGAGATTCTAAATTTACAAAAATGATCTTATTAATGATTTGTCTGGTAAGACAGACAAATACATTTCCTGTTACAGATGTGACTTTAGTTTACTATAATTGCTACGATAATGCGAATTTGAAACAGTTTCGTACAAGTTTTAGGCAAATATATCTTTCACTCGCTGCTTAAATATTCCCATAAACACTTGAATGTTATCGATTTCCTGTGCAATCGACACAAATGAAAGACCACATGTAAATGATTAACTTCTTACTTCAGATACCCAGTTATGTTTACCTTCATCATCCAACTGCCTCAATAATTTAAAGCATTGAAGAGAATATCTTCATTCTTCTAATCTTAGTAACTTTATCCAGTATTTAAGTGCTCTTACTTGGCTTTGCACAAACATATTACAGCGTCCAGTTTCACCAAGAATTGTTTTATTTGAGGCATGTTTACCAATATTACAAAAAAAACGTTGGAAGTATGAGGTACGTACTTTTTCGATGGCAGCATAACATTGTTCTCATATTTCCAAACTATATAGTAATATAGGTGCAATTTTACAGTACATTTTGTGCATGCTATTGAAAAGGATATATTCTTATTTTGTTTAAACAATTTATACACAGACATTTGAAATTTGCAAAAAAGGCAAACAAGACCAAATGCATAAAACATAAACAAGATTCTCAGACAAAAGTCAGTTTCTCAAAATGTCCCACAATATTTTAAACTTCTGGAAGCACCACCAACTATATTCGTATCCTCTGAATATTGATATTTGACTATATCAGTGATCACCACCTTTCGTACCAAATGCCCTGAGGATCAAAGAATTATGCTGTTTTTTGTTTTTTTGTTAAGGTCGTTGTGTTGGATAGTGATGTACAACGTTGACGTTTTATGTGCTTTGACAGTATTTGACTTCGTTCTTTTGTAAGATTACAAACATTCAGGCTAGTCCGTTGAGTTTTTGAGAACCCACATGATATTTATTTCCCTTGTTCCAGATACAGGATTGGGTATAGTAATAGAAAACGTACAACACAAAAACTAACTCACTTGGTGAACAATATCACACAATACTTTTGAGTGAACTCAAATTGCCGAATCATACCATACGGCCCTGCTTTTTTCCAAAAAGCTGCCTCATTGCTTGGCCAGATAAAGTTGCCCATTCATTATATATAGACATCAGATAACTGAGAGACCCAGAAAAGTAATCGTAATGTCACGCTGATCCTTTGGGAAACATCAACGTACATGCAGGACAATAGATCGACAACCCTACTATCAGTCAGCGACCGACATTTACACAGAAGTGACCCAGAAAACGAAAACTTTATGTCACGCTGACCTTTTGACAAACACACTAAGACCATAGATCGACAACACCAGTATCAGTCAATGACCTTAAATGTACTATGAGCGGTTAATGACATGCTACTATGAGGCTCTTTGAAATTTTCGTGGGGAAAATTTACTATTGGAAAGTTGAATTCATCCCTCTTGTCATACAGTCTTGTGAAGAGTCCTGTCACTCTGAACCTTTATGAAAAGATCCAAATATGAAACAGACGAGGCGGTCCCGCTGATCCACCTTATTACTTTTACTTTCTATCCCAGTTGGTCAAATCAGTTGAAGTGCATTGGCTATTTGATGGTTAGGGAACGATATTAGATAAACAATATACCTGAAGCTGTGGTGTGATTAATGACATACATACCTGTCACTTTTGAGCGGTTTATGACATACCTTCTGTTTTATGATTTACATGGTTCTTTTGAGTGGTTAAAAACATACATACAAAAGCATACAATGATATACTTGCCACTGTTGAGTGGTTAATGATATACTTGCCACTGTTGAGTGGTTAATGATATACTTGCCACTGTTGAGTGGTTGATGATATACTTGCCACTGTTGAGTGGTTCATGATACATTTGTCACTGTTGAGTGGTTAATGATATACTTGCCACTGTTGAGTGGTTAATGATACATTTGTCACTGTTGAGTGGTTAATGATATACTTGCCACTGTTGAGTGGTTCATAATATATTTGTCACTGTTGAGTGGTTAATGATACATATGTCACTGTTGAGTGGTTAATGATATACTTGCCACTGTTGAGTGGTTAATGATATACTTGCCACTGTTGAGTGGTTAATGATACATTTGTCACTGTTGAATGGTTAATGATATACTTGCCACTGTTAAGTGTTTAATGATACATTTGTCACTGTTGAGTGGTGAATGATCTACTTGCCACTGTTGAGTGGTTAATGATATACTTGCCACTGTTGAGTGGTTAATGATATACTTGCTACCTTTGAGTGGTTAATGATATACTTGCCACTGTTGAGTGGTTAATGATATACTTGCCACTGTTAAAGGTTTAATTATCAACATGCCACTGTTAAGTGATTAATGATGTACATGCCACTGTTAAGTGGTTAATGATATACTTGCCACTGTTAAAGGTTTAATGATACACATGCCACTGTTAAGTGGTTAATGATATACTTGCCACTGTTAAAGGTTTAATGATACACATGCAACTGCTGAGTGGTTAATATTATACATGCCACTGTTAAGTGGTAATTATATGCATATCACTGTGTGTAGTTAACTTGCGTTTGTGCGTGTTTTACGATTTAATGACACCCTGGTTCGAAGTCTATTTTGACTGCTTTTTCAAATTCATGTGACACACACATCGGCGCAGCCAAATAAATATACGAGTATCTAGAAATCATTGATTCTATTAGAGTGGGTGAGTGAGTTGGGTTTTATTCCTTCTCCCACAAAACATCAGTGATATCAAAGCGCATCAACTAAATGTGTGAGGAACACCCAACGTAATGTAGGTCTTAGACGTTTTGGATTCGAACTCATGGTCATTTCTGTAAAGAAACATTGGAATGACACATCCAGAAAAAGGAAATAAGTTGGTACACCCCTTCATTACAATCTTAATGCATATCTAATAACGCTCATGACGTTGTGCACTGTAGTCAGTTGTTGACCCAAAGTTCGTCCAATCATCGCCAAGCAGTAGCCTCAGACTGTTTATCAATAACCATGGCCCCTGATAACTTTAATCCTCATTTGGGTGACTGTAGGTAAACAGCCGAGATCCAGCATGTCGTCAAATCAAGAGGGAGATAACAATCTTCGGCACACGTAAGTTTGCTCATGAAGCCATGCTTCCAGTTTCATACATGTCACATTGTTTGCATAAAGTGGAATCTTGTGGTGAATAGCTTAAGATAATTCATTTCAATGTAATTAATCTAAATTAGACGTTTAATGTTATAACGGCAGGCACCCGTGTTATAACAAAATACAGGGGACACATGCACAAAAGCCGACGTGAATCATTTTATTCAGTATATTAACAAACCAAACTTTATCAAAAGGCATGCACTTTATGATGTAGACCATGTCTCACGTAATCTATTTATGTCGTACTTGTAATACACTACCGGGCAAAAGAAAGTATACTCTTGAAAATTGAATTTGACCATACAATTATAAACGCTACTAGGCTGAAACCAACCGCCGAAAACATGGGTGTATACTTTCTTTTTCCCGTTCCTTGAGATCAATTGGTCGATGTTTGTGTCTTGATTGAATGTCATAGTGCTCCAAAGGCTCCGTTGGTTTGCTCGGACATTTAAAGGTTGCTCGAATATATCTGATTATAGTGTCAAACCACATTCTGTTCACTCACTCTAATTAACAATGCGTAGCCAGGATTACGCTGGGACAGAAGCAAATGTCCGTGTACTTTCCGAGTCGCGGTACAGCTCTTACTTGTATCGTTATTTTAGTGTAGAAGCAACGATGACCGGTTTTTCTAAACTTCCTTGAATGCATTCATTCATCCATACTTTTCACCTATATGTGGTGGATATGCTGAACCGAATGTTGCTTGTACATTCAGGCTCGGTGTTTGGTTGATTGGCATGTGTCCCGACGGCCTGGGGCAATGCTCAGACCATCAGTTAGTGGGGTCATCCATTCCATGTCAATACATCGCGAAAGTGCAAGTCCGAATGTGTTTTATAATCGTACAACCTGGGAAAGGTTATCACGGGATATTATAAACTACCGTTACGGTCTGTACTATTGATTCTGAATGCTAGACATCGCCTAACCCTTGCTTAAATTGGAGAAACATTAGAAACAGGAGAGACTTTTCATGTTCCGTGGACGTACTGACATACAATCTCGGCCATCTTTGCGAAAATAGTTGCCAAAGCTTACTTGTCTGGAATAGAAGTCGCCATTTTAAAACTTGCACTGTAAAGCTTAAGAATGCTGCTTTCTGACTGGCTAATGCCGACTTTCTGTTGGTCATGTCACTGGAATGTCAAACTTCGCAAAACGTGATTTAATGGGATGTCTTTTTTGCATCATTTACGTTTCAGAATCAACATCATGTGTCGATGTGTAGTATTTAAGTTAACCACACTGCGATATGTTACAGGTCAGATGGTGGCCTTGAAATAGTGGATCTAACCAACTCCAAAGGTCACGGCTTCAAGTGTTATACTTACGATGGCTTGTACCTTCCTGTCCTGCCCCCACCCATGCAGGAAAGAAGTTGTACTGAAATAATGAAAGACATTAAAACAATTGAGATGACACAAGAAGATATTTTGATTTGCGCTTTTCAGAAATGTGGTGAGTAGAAGAAACTAATTATATCTTACAACAAACTCCTTTGTCCACTGCCAATACATCGTGTCATTCTTTGTTTGAGTCGACGAATTTCTAATATCTTTCAGTACCTACTCCCTTCTCTTGAGACGCATTAACCTATGGCATATGTATCGATCGCAACATGTTAAATTTGTCTTAAAGGCACCCATTGGCTGTGGGAAGTGCTGGAGATGGTTAGAAGTGGGGTCATTCAGTACAAGCAGGAAGTAAAAGAAACCCGGATGATAGAAATGATTCACAAGGAAGGAATAGAAGCAGTGCCGCCTCCACGCGTCCTCAACACGCACCTTCCTCTGCGCATGCTCCCCACGCAGATCGTGGAGAAGAAGGTCAAGTGTATCCAGGTCATGCGCAATCCTAAAGATGTCTGTGTGTCCATGTTCAACCACTACAGGGATTTGGTACAGCCTCTTGGTTACGAGGGTGACTTTGATGAGTTTCAAGACGTCTTCCTGAAAGGACACCGTAAGGATCACGTTTTCTGTATTACTGTATCATGATTGAATGTTGAACGTCAAACCGAGCAATATTCCAACTATATCACGACGACCTGAAAATAATCTGTGGAAATTCCGAATCAGAATATGTCCCCAGTATCTAATACTTGATGTAGAGTCGACTAACATGTGATTCGGATGATAATGCTCCGTGACTTGGCTTATTGTCTTTTATTGTACCCCAATGTCTAGGGCAATGCTCATGACATCGACACTGGTTTGTCTCGTCCGGGCTTGATTTTTACACTCACTTACATCCCCCGGTAGTTTGAATAGCACACATATGAGAATTAATCTATAGGAATCTATAGGAATAAATCTTCAAATTCACAAACACTTACAGACCCCAATGCAAACACATATAAATGTACCATCTATTCCCATCTCGGTGTTTTAGTCAAATACAAATTTCAGAATTGCATATATACTTTTGTATTGGGATGTAATTTAACCCTTAAATAACATATTGTGACGAACGGATATCCGACAAAGACTATCTGATTAACTAGTCCTCACGTGTCCTGTCAAATCATTAGTAAGAGGATGTTCATTCTTTATTCTCATTATTTCAGTTCCACTAGGGTCCTACTATGACTACCTCATCTCCTGGAGAAAAGAGGTGTCAAGGTCACCGGAAGTGCCTGTCTTTTATGTGGTGTACGAGGAAATGAAAACTGTAAGTGTCCAATACTGTTCCCAATGGGCCTGGAGAGGACTAGGGGGTGAGGGTGGTGGCAGTCTGCCCCGATGGCGTGGGGTGAGGGTGGTGGTTGTCTGCCCCGATGGCGTGGGGTGAGGGTGGTGGTAGTCTGCCCCGATGGCGTGGATCGCTGCTCATGCTTGCAACCCCTGATTTGTCTTGTCCAGACTGGATTAAAGATAATTCTATCGTGGTTTGGGGATTGGGGAAAGACCAAAGACATGCTGCGGTGTCAGTGTCCATACATTTGGAATAAGTGAGTGAGAGAGTATGCTTTACGCCGCTTTTAGCAATATTCCAGCAATATCACGGCGGGGGACACCGGAAATGGACTTCACGCATTGTACCAATGTCGGGAATAGAACCCGTGTCTTCGGCGTGAACCCTCATTTAGATTAAAGTCTGTAACTGTCTACATAAACCATCAAAGTGAGGTTGTAGTCGGCCACATAAATCATCAAAGTGAGGATACATTACGCAAGATCAATGCCTCCAACCATAACAATTACCCCGATCTTCATAAAAAAAGGCAAAATCCCCCAGAACAATTATAGTCGGAATCGTCAAATCGACTCTGCTTAATGCAGAGATTTCTATTGGATATGGAAAAGGTTTTGTCGCTTTATTTACATTACCACCATCACAATTACCCGGAGCGTCATCACAAAATGAACATCTGAATTCAAAATACCCTTGAACAATTCAGTGTACATGTGAATTTAGTTGGCCACCCTTTGTCAAAAGAACATCCACGGCAGTGGTCGTACGATATATTCACTGACAAAAAACATTATCTTTCATTTTCTCTCTGAAGTGTGTCATGTTCAGAATGTCTCATGACTCCTGTTCAAGGATCCTGTCAAGTGTATTAAAGACATCGCAAGATTCCTGGACCTGACAGTCACCGACCAGTTCTGTAAAGACGTCGCAGATGCCTGTTCCTTTAAGAAGATGAAGCAGGTTGACTCTGAATTGAAAGGAGATATGCCCATTAAAGTATGGAAGGAAGGGTCCAAGGGAACCATCTACAGGAAAGGTAATACTTCCTCATTGTGAGACTATTGTTTGATTGTTGTTTAACTTAGAACTCAGCGATATTCCAGCTAATCGGTACATAGAGTCTGAACAAGACAGACCGGCTGAAAGCATACCATCAGGGAATGATGGACCTCAAGTCAGCGAGCCTGACAACCCGATCATAGATTGTTGGGTACCACCTCTAACTCTGAATCTGTGTGTGTGTGTTTGTGTGTCTGTGTGTCTGTGTGTGTGTCCCTGTGTGCGTATGTGTGAGTGTGATGACGTGAGTGTGAAGGTGAGTGTATGAGTGTGTGTGTATGTGTGAGTATGTAAGTGTGTGTGTGTGTGTGTGCGTGTGTAGGTTTGAGTGTAGTTATAATAATTAAAATGATTATAATATCTGTTGTGCCCGCATCCAACTAATGTTAGTCCAGTGATGAAAGCCTTTATTCAATGCATGTTACAGGTGAGATCGGAGACTGGAAGAACTGGTTCACTGTGGCAGAGAGCGAGCGTTTTGATGAAATATGGAATGAGAAGATGAAGGGATCTGGGATCACATTTACCTATTCACCCGCGTAATGGACCTGGGAAGATATGACTTCTCAGAATGAACTCACTGCAAGCACACTTCATAAGTTACGAAAAACTGAAGTGATAATTTTTTTTCGAATTGTCCTAAGGATCGACTAATGGATATAAAGAAATAGAAATCCACAGAATATAAAACGTCAACGCCAGAGAATATCCAGTCTTGATTTTCCTCCAAAACAGATTCATTAGGCCTGAAAGGCAAAATAGCGTTGAAAATTAAATGAATGGATCCCTGAAAATCAGTGATGACACCAGGCGTTCGCGAGAGGTGTAGGCATGTCCTGCCCTACCGGTAGCATCCACCAATCTATTGTTTCTACTTGTTTTCAAGTGATTATGTATACATCTCTGTCTTTTCCCAACACCTAGGGGAGTAGGTTAGCCCTTTCCTACTACTCAGAAGAACAAAAATGATCACATCCCTACTTGGGAATCTTTGATATTCAATCAATAAAGAAAATGCTGTCCTGTATAATAATCTTTAATTGTTTGGTGAAGCAGTTAAGGAACATATCTGCAATGAATATATCAACCTTATTGTGTGCCTTAACAGTTGAAAGAGTGTACTGGATGTACGTAAATACATATTGTTTTACCATATGTTTTGTATTTTAATGCACAGTAATGTTTCCTCAAATCATATGATAGTATATACAACCTTGATCTAGTTTTGTATATACTCACCGCCCACAAACCGCGAATACCATACATGTTGGTTAATATATGAAGAAGTACTCATGCTCAAGATCTATTAGATGCACAAATGAACAAACTGTTATGTTGCGCGATCCGACGCTCATGAACGCATCACATGTGACGTCATTAATCCATGACCCGAGATGCTTCATTTGTCTCGTGCAGGACTAGCGTGTAATGTTTGGAGCATATCGTGATAGAAATAAAGAACCTCTGTGGCAACACTTGATTGCTTGTCAGTTTTGTAATTAAGTGGTACACATTGGATACATCACTTCTGAACGTAGATAATTTCTATATGTCTCTGTGGTTCGCATTCCTTTTGGCGGTGAGTATATATCGTCCATTTTGTGTGTCTTAACAATGTATTACAGATGAAAATGTGTACTATCTATATGGAAACATATGCAGGTTGTCTAACCATAGTTAAATACACAATAACTTGAGGGTCAGCTTAACGTTCTATCATTATAATATGTGATTAACTGCCAACTGAACACAATGAAATGTGTAATGTTATGTTATTGTATATGAAGAGTAAAGGTTTATTGACGTTTATAACCAACACTTCCTTGTTCCACATCCAGGTAAGGTATCATGTACCACATGATTATCAAAATAACCAACAAACATATGAATCACATAAACAGCGAGTTGTGCTCCCGTGCTTTACGTAACAAATCTTACCCACATTTTATTCCATCAGATACCTGCTGGCTTTGTATCATACATTCGCCAAGTGACAGTCCGTACTTATTCCGCATATCGTCGGTTATGTAAATGTAAAACGTCATGGCCAGATAACAACCAGTCACGATTATCCACTTAAGTGCTTGTGCTTGTTGTATCACGCAAACGATAGTACTGTCCCAGTTGCACAAATCAACACAGGGATTGTTAACCTCCCATACTGACCCTGCATGTCATATTGACACGCGGAATGTGCACAAGACGGTATACGTGCTCGGTGACAGGCAACGTTAACGTGCTCATGTGTCAGCGGTTGACAGGTCACTGACACGACTCTCTTTACACACACACACACACACACATATATATATATATATATATATATATATATATATATATATATATATATGTGTGTGTGTGTGTGTGTGTGTGTGTGTGTGTGTGTGTGTGTGCGTGCGTGCGTGCGTGTGTGTGTGTGTGTGTGTGGGTGTGGGTGTGGGTGTGTGTGTGCGTGTGTGTGTGTGCGTGTGTGTGTGTGTGTGTGTGTGTGTGTTTCGATAACCCGTGCTGATATCTTTATTCTAGAACGGTGTGAACGACATTTACTCTGCGCGTTTGCTTATTTGAGTGAGTGAAAACAAACAAGAGTAATTTGCATGAACATGACGCATTTACGTTTCGAAAATGAAATGCGGATATTTGTCACCGTGGACACTCATTTATCAACAATGTTATGTTCACAACATACTTTCCATTACCCTTAGGAAACGAACGTAAAATATTCCTTGCTGGCGTACATTTACATGTACTTGAAAGATTGATAATATTCTTCAGTTTTGAAAGACTGAGTTGAGAATAGTGGTCTTTTCATTGAAGTGAACACAACTTGCGATATTTCATTGCAGTGAACATAAGACTTGGACTGAACTATTGTCATACAAGACCTACCTTACCGCTAATTGCTTCCCTTTATCTTAAATGTCGAGCATGTACCCCAAATGTTGACTTACTTTCATTTTAGTTACACATTGACAAGGCACAAAAATGACAGATGGTCATTTATGGAGTAAATATTGCTTCTTACCGTTTGTTATTCTCTTGAAAATGTTTCGTTATAAACTGTAAATTTCTCATTTAACTTGTCAATCGACATTGTTCGTTTCGCAAAGCGCTATTTTTTGTTACTTGACCAGCGAGTAAGCTTTCGCTTCCAACAGCTGTCTCGTAGATTTCAAGAATTGGTTTGATTTAACTTGATTTTGTATATAATCATATACAAATGTATGAACAAGAATTTCCTTGACCCTAAATACTTTATGTTACTTTCGTTTATACCTTTTAAGATTTTTGCAAACACGGAACTACTTTATAAGTCGCAATTGCAAAGGTGGTGAAACGTCCCTGCGTGTTTTACATTTTTAATGAAATGAATATAATTTAATAACTACGCCATGAGTGAAAATATCTCCTTTCCCACGACACGAGATTAGAGAAATCGGATATTTCACTCTACACATGTACATATTCTCAAAAGCATGTGGATTATCAGCGCTTCAGTACCATATGTTCCGTATTTTTCAGGTGAACATTTGACTTGCCTATGCATGTGTTTGCGACAGGTACCACCGGTGGGGGCAGGATACGCTCACCTGGTATAGTTACTATTCGACAGTGATTCACAAACACATGCTCATAATATAGTCGGAATTGTTCTATCCACTCTACTTTATGCAGATATGTATTTTGGATATGGCAATAGTTTTATCGTTTTATTATTATGAATATCGAAAGGGTTTTGACGCTTTTATTTATTTTATTTGTTGTTATTATTGTGGCTCAACACATACAATGTATGTTCCGTTTTTGTGATGTTTGAAAATTGGATCCTTGTTTTGACCTTCCCACTATGACCTGATCCCCAATCAATCTCAAAATACGTCCAAAACTCCAGATACTTGTTCTCACCAAATGTGACGCTATATTTGTTAAAGTTCGAATAAGATTTTCAATATGGCCGCCTCAAAATGTAATGTCATTTGATATTTCATTTTTTTAGTTTCGTTTTTTACAATATTGTACATGTTGACCATATTTTGATCATTCCTCCAACTCTGTTCATGCTGAAATAGCCAGTCAGATGGGGTATGGAGTGTGGCATGTTTGTTTCTTTTTAAGCATTTCAAAACACTGAGATTATATGTCTTCAGGACAATGTTTATGATTTTCTTATTTGGTCCAATCATTATGTTATGGTGACAAATGAATGAATACATAACAGGAAACTCTACATTGAAACAGGTTCAGTTTGTTATTATTTATAAGATGCCAAAATGTCGGGCTATCGGTTCTTGACATTTTGTTGTGCAAATCTTTGCGTTCAGTGGAGACAACTTCCTACTTAAACGACATACAGTGAACTTTTGGTTGAATCACAACTTGTCCCATGATCCTACTTCATGAATAACTAAACACTTTTTATTGTGATACTAACCCCGTGATTATCCAGGTTAGAATTGGTCTTCAGCAACCAATGACACGACTCTCTTTACACACACACACACACACATATATATATATATATATATATATATATATATATATATGTGTGTGTGTGTGTGTGTGCGTGCGTGCGTGCGTGCGTGCGTGCGTGTGTGTGTGTGTGTGTGTGTGTGTGTGTGTGTGTGTGTGTGTGTGTGTGTGTGTGTGTGTGTGTGTGTGTGTGTGTGTGTGTGTGTGTGTGTGTGTGTGTGTGTGTGTGTGTGTGTGTGTGTGTGCGTGTGTGTGTGTGTGTGTGTGTGTTTCGATAACCCGTGCTGATATCTTTATTCTAGAACAGTGTGAACGACATTTACTCTGCGCGTTTGCTTATTTGAGTGAGTGAAAACAAACAAGAGTAATTTGCATGAACATGACGCATTTACGTTTCGAAAATGAAATGCGGATATTTGTCACCGTGGACACTCATTTATCAACAATGTTATGTTCACAACATACTTTCCATTACCCTTAGGAAACGAACGTAAAATATTCCTTGCTGGCGTACATTTACATGTACTTGAAAGATTGATAATATTCTTCAGTTTTGAAAGACTGAGTTGAGAATAGTGGTCTTTTCATTGAAGTGAACACAACTTGCGATATTTCATTGCAGTGAACATAAGACTTGGACTGAACTATTGTCATACAAGACCTACCTTACCGCTAATTGCTTCCCTTTATCTTAAATGTCGAGCATGTACCCCAAATGTTGACTTACTATCATTTTAGTTACACATTGACAAGGCACAAAAATGACAGATGGTCATTTATGGAGTAAATATTGCTTCTTACCGTTTGTTATTCTCTTGAAAATGTTTCGTTATAAACTGTAAATTTCTCATCCAAGTTATCAGGGGCCATGGTTATTGATAAACAGTCTGAGGCTACTGCTTGGCGATGATTGGACGAACTTTGGGTCAACAACTGACTACAGTGCACAACGTCATGAGCGTTATTAGATATGCATTAAGATTGTAATGAAGGGGTGTACCAACTTATTTCCTTTTTCTGGATGTGTCATTCCAATGTTGCTTTACAGAAATGACCATGAGTTCGAATCCAAAACGTCTAAGACCTACATTACGTTGGGTGTTCCTCACACATTTAGTTGATGCGCTTTGATATCACTGATGTTTTGTGGGAGAAGGAATAAAACCCAACTCACTCACCCACTCTAATAGAATCAATGATTTCTAGATACTCGTATATTTATTTGGCTGCGCCGATGTGTGTGTCACATGAATTTGAAAAAGCAGTCAAAATAGACTTCGAACCAGGGTGTCATTAAATCGTAAAACACGCACAAACGCAAGTTAACTACACACAGTGATATGCATATAATTACCACTTAACAGTGGCATGTATAATATTAACCACTCAGCAGTTGCATGTGTATCATTAAACCTTTAACAGTGGCAAGTATATCATTAACCACTTAACAGTGGCATGTGTATCATTAAACCTTTAACAGTGGCAAGTATATCATTAACCACTTAACAGTGGCATGTACATCATTAATCACTTAACAGTGGCATGTTGATAATTAAACCTTTAACAGTGGCAAGTATATCATTAACCACTCAACAGTGGCAAGTATATCATTAACCACTCAAAGGTAGCAAGTATATCATTAACCACTCAACAGTGGCAAGTATATCATTAACCACTCAACAGTGGCAAGTAGATCATTCACCACTCAACAGTGACAAATGTATCATTAACCACTTAACAGTGGCAAGTATATCATTAACCATTCAACAGTGACAAATGTATCATTAACCACTCAACAGTGGCAAGTATATCATTAACCACTCAACAGTGGCAAGTATATCATTAACCACTCAACAGTGACAAATGTATCATTAACCACTCAACAGTGACAAATATATTATGAACCACTCAACAGTGGCAAGTATATCATTAACCACTCAACAGTGACAAATTTATCATTAACCACTTAACAGTGGCAAGTATATCATTAACCACTCAACAGTAACAAATGTATCATTAACCACTCAACAGTGGCAAGTATATCATTAACCACTCAACAGTGGCAAGTATATCATTAACCACTCAACAGTGACAAATGTATCATTAACCACTCAACAGTGGCAAGTATATCATTAACCACTCAACAGTGACAAATGTATCATGAACCACTCAACAGTGGCAAGTATATCATCAACCACTCAACAGTGGCAAGTATATCATTAACCACTCAACAGTGGCAAGTATATCATTAACCACTCAACAGTGGCAAGTATATCATTGTATGCTTTTGTATGTATGTTTTTAACCACTCAAAAGAACCATGTAAATCATAAAACAGAAGGTATGTCATAAACCGCTCAAAAGTGACAGGTATGTATGTCATTAATCACACCACAGCTTCAGGTATATTGTTTATCTAATATCGTTCCCTAACCATCAAATAGCCAATGCACTTCAACTGATTTGACCAACTGGGATAGAAAGTAAAAGTAATAAGGTGGATCAGCGGGACCGCCTCGTCTGTTTCATATTTGGATCTTTTCATAAAGGTTCAGAGTGACAGGACTCTTCACAAGACTGTATGACAAGAGGGATGAATTCAACTTTCCAATAGTAAATTTTCCCCACGAAAATTTCAAAGAGCCTCATAGTAGCATGTCATTAACCGCTCATAGTACATTTAAGGTCATTGACTGATACTGGTGTTGTCGATCTATGGTCTTAGTGTGT